GAAGCCAAACCGGATACTGCCGACACCATAAAGATTTCTTCCTCAACCCACCCCACCACACCACACCACACCCCACCCCTCAAACGACTTACCAGGTCATCTGCGCATTAAGAACTTCCGGTTAAAATGTCACGCAAGCTCTGCAAAATTATTAATTAGTCAAAAATGTGCTAAGCAGCTCAAGCGTGATTCACGTGATTCGTGATTCGACGAGCGAGAAAGCTTGAAGTTTTCGTCTGATATCGATATTCTTTTCTTAGATGGGAACCGAGCCAAGACCCGTTTCCAGTCTTCATGGTATTCCGAAGCCGTTACAAGCGTCTTCGTCAGTAGGCCTGGGACAGAGCTCTAAGAAGCGCCATCGGCCATACAGCAGTGTCAGCAGTAGCGAGTCAGATGACAGTGATCTGGAATATGATGAGGAGGAAATCGAGGGTGACGTAGTGACAAGAAATAGAGATTTTTATGCTCAGCTCGAAGAAGAAGAGAAAGCCAACTCTCAGGTAACACTTATGTGAGGATCGAGATGTTAAGTCTCCCCTCTGAGTTGCGTTCATTGCCTTGAAAAGTCGTTGTGGGAATTAATTATTACTCACATGTGGTGGAATTTTGCGAAACAAAGAAAGAAGGATTCGTTAGCTCCTCTTTTTATGATTTGTCATTAGTTACTTGTGTCATTAACGTTTCTGTTCTCATTTTCCTTTTCAGCTAAAAAGGGAGATTTGCGAAGCGCACGAGGAATTGCGAGCCCTCTACGAAGAGCTCCGAAGTTCCCACGAGAGCTTGGATACGATTGAGGTGGATGGTTTGGAGCCCAATTCAGGTTTTAAACCTGGTTGCCTCACGACTTTTGTGAAGAGTTTTAGAGAGGTTTTAGAAGAAATGGTCAGCGATAACAGTACGAAAACTACGGTAAGCCCCTTTTTTCGGTAAGGGTTTGTGGACCTGTCTAGCAGAAGGCACAAATTTAAAAGTATGGCCAGATAGGGAGCAGGACTGGCACTAGCTGCAGTGGTTACAAAATCGTTTTATTTATGAAGGTAGAACTAAAGCCGTTATCAGGGCAGGTGAATTATGTTGGGAAAAATTCAAGCTTGATCATAAGTGCATAATTCTCTAGTTCAAGGCATTAATCAGGAGTTCTTTAAGTTCAAAGTCGATGTCTTATAATTTCTTGATACTTTTTTAGGATTTCAGACAACAGCTATGTAAAGCCCATGAAAGCATCAACAGCCTGGAACAAGATCTCGAGGTGGCGAAATCTGAATTGAAGAAGAGAGAAGAAGAAATTGCTAGCTTGAAGGAGACATTGAATGAAAAAGACCAGGAAATTGCTAATGTTAAAGAACAACGGAACAAATTAGCCAGAGGGGAATGCGAAGAACAGTTGGCGCATGATATCATGTATAACGAAGCTGTTCTAGAGAAGATAAACGCAGAGGAAAGGTAAAACTTCCATCTGAACGTTGTTACATCCTAGCACCAAGTTATTGTCTTCTACTTCGTAACAACAAAGCTATTTGTGTTCGGTGTCTTAAAACCAAAACCAGAGAAGTCACAATGGCCTATCGGAACAAGGGTCAACATAACAAGAAGCCAATGAGATCTCGAGTAATAAACACTTGACCGATTGGCTTTAGTTTTGCATCTGATTGGTTGAGAAGGTGTGGCGCGAGTTCTCCAGACCGATCACGGAACGTTACCCATCGGCATAAACGAGCCAATCAGAAGGCGAGACAAGCATGCTCCAGGTGTGCCTGAGATGGGAAAACGTACAAGCAATTTTTAGAGCTGGAAAGCAGACTAAAATATACATCCGATAGGCATTGCATGATGATGAAACGTATCTTTATGGTCTCTTCTTTTAATACATATGAAAATTAAGACTCTTATGACTTTCTTGTATCTGCTCTAGGGCGAAGAGACTGGCTTCGGAATTAATGCGGTCCAAAGAAGATCGAGAAGAACTTGACAAACAGCTCAAAGAGGCAATTGAGCAGAAGATTAGTCTTTCGAAACAACTTGAAGAGTGGCAGGCAAGTGCAGACGTTTTATTTTCGTTAATGTAGACAGAAAGGAAAGAACTTATGATACTCCTTGAACTTCAGAAGATCAAATAGCCTAGATTTTTGGTGGAGGACAATAAAATGTCTAAAACTGTATGCACTCAACGTGAGCGACTAAGTGAACGAAAAACATGTGTAACTGAAATCAAGCAGTTTGAAGGACGATTGTCAAATATGAAATTAGAACATGACCAGCTCATCAGAGAGTTATGTCCCTCGAAATGAGACAACAACAACGACCTCAAGAATCTTAATTGTGTGCTCTCTAGATTTACAAAATAATATTAACAATTTAATATGAGGGGGAAAGATAATGGAGAAATTTTCAATTGAGTGGCAAAACTAATCCGGGAATTCTGTGGTTTTGCTTTACTTCGTTTTCTGATTGGTTCAGAATATTTGCGCCTGTCTTTTTAACCAATCGTATTTAAAACATAAACCAATCGTGACTTGGTCACCTCCCTCCCCTTCCCCTGTCACCGCGGTCTCTTCCTGAGCTCGAATTATACTTTGCAGTCTCATTGGTTCGTTCTAACATTTTCCGTTATTTGAATAGAAATGCGATATGATACTTATTGGATAAACCATGGGCTCCCCACAGAGAGGAAAATAATCAAATATTCATCTTCTTTTCCTCAGTTTGACATGGCATCGCTAATAGATGACCAAGTGCAGAGGCAAATGAAATCAGCTGCAAAGGAACACGAGGTTAACGCCAGGAGGCGAAGAATGACGGCTTTTCCCCAACCAAAACGGTGGTATTGGAACAGTGGCAACAGTAGACGACCTAGTTTGTTATGATGGTACTCCAGAAAGTACTTGATAACTTAGTTATATCATTACTTTCCCTCGTAGCAGTCGATCGTACTTCCAAAAGAAGATTTAACTTAAGATCGCTATTCACATCTTCAAAACGGACTGTCTCGTAGCCTCGTTCCCGCGTGAGTTGCTGAAGGGCTGGACTCTAAGGTGGTTTGCCGGGTGAGGGAGTACGTTATTGAGACCGTCCGAGATTTCGCTTCTGAAATGTGCTCTTTCGTGTTAACGATAAATTCCTCTTTATGGTTTTTTTTCTTACCGACATTCTAAACAGGTAATGTATCATTTTAAGATATGTTCATTTTCATCAAAATGTGATGATAGGAAATCTGCCATGTTGCGAGTGAAAATGGGTTTCCTCCGTGTGGCTTCTACAGATTGGACATTACGAGGATGAATGACAGGTCAACTATCCAATCAGATTCCTCCCCTTATTTTTTCTGTGTCATGTCACTTGTACATTAGAATGTGTAATTTAATTGACAGAACGTCATTAAAGTAATAGTAATATTATTAAGATGATTAAGATGAATTGGTAACATCATTACGTGGAATTAAATTACATTCTACGGAAATTCTACGTTCCCTATTCATACATTCAAGAGTAAATTTTAGAAGTTCAACATATTTATTGGCCAAACGATCTTGTTCCACGAGTATACACTCAAAATGTTTGGCTGTATATGCGTGTAGGTTCATTGACAGATTTAATTAATCTCCAGGAATCCTACTTAACTTTCGGGGAATGTAAATATCTCTTTGTAGGAGGACACGAAGATTTTTAAATCCGGTTTTGGTGTGGTTTCTTTACTATGGTAATTTTTGTTGTTGTTTTGTTGCCAATAATGAGTGTTTAGTCGAGATCTCTTCCCCACAGTAGTAACCTTTAGACATGCTGCGTGCATGAGATAGACCAGGAAGGTTGGAAACAGAGTAATTTTAAAGTCTGACCAGATTCTTGGTATTATTTCGTGGGAAGTGACTGTGGCGTAGGGATCAATCGATTATTGTCACTTAATTTTGAATTTGTTGTAAAAATTTGCTTTATTTAATTACCTCATTTTTGTAGTAAAATGTTTCAACTGAGGTGGCGGACTTAATTTGCTTTTTTGTTTTTTTTTTGTTTTTGTTTTTGTTGTTGTTAAGTTTTTAATTATTTTAGAACCTGTGATGCAACGTTTCAAATCTTACAATGCACGTTAAAATACAGTCAGTTGATCGTTCGTTCCGAAGAGTGTAAATGAAATCGTTGAAAGATTTATGGTCTCGTACAACTTAGTTTTATCAATAGAAGTAAAGAATAAAGGAGTATTTTGACAGTGAACCGCTCTGTTGTCATTATTGTGTTCTTCCGTATTCGATTTATCTCCAAACCCCTCTTTTTATGCTGGGAACCAATTACTAGCCGATTTTCTATAGTTTTCCCCCCCCCCTTTATACTTAGTTGGAAACGACAGATCCCCTCGAGTTCCCCCTGAAACCGTGTGACCCTACCCCCCTACCCCCCTCCCCCCCCCCATAAAATCCTCCGACCCGCTTCCCCTGTCGATAAATGATCTCTGGTGTTGATGCCAACCTCTGCTGTTTTTCGCTCACCTAATGCGGTTGTGAATATTGTGCAATTGAAAAGCGGGATGTTAATTTCTTCTGATAATTCTCAAATTGACAGCTCTGATCATCGAGTGGAAAAATTTCCATATTAAGTTTTTGTTATAATTGGCCTCCCTTTGTTTATTTGAGTCAGTTTTTGAAACGAATAATCTGGATTGATTGTTTAAGTTTTTGATTTTACTCGAGCTACCAAAAGAGGTCACTTTGATCTCTTGATCGACTGTATGCAGAATCGTGCACTTTTTCTGTAATGTCTATTTGGGTTGAAGACTTTTAGGTATAAGATTAGGGTTACAAATATTACGATGTTAATAGACGCACCAAATACATTTATTTATTGAGTAAATCTTCATGCAATCTTACAAGTACTAATTACAAATGATAACTATATAAATTCGGTAATTTCAACCTGAATGCTTAGGACGCAACAGACACGAGCAAACTGCACAGAGGGTCGTGTTTCGTCCTCTCGGAATAAGAGCCACACCTAACTACGATTGTGTCTTAGTTTTGGCGCGAGTCTTGTAGAAATCTCACGCGTTTTTTGTTCGTGCTATCTGGGGTGCAGCCATGTTGCGAGCCTCTCCTTGAACATACGTTTCTAAGTGAACCACTGTTCACTCTTTCCTTGCCGTTTTGGTCATTAAACCGGTTCAGAACTGAGCCATTTCTGGAGTTTTTCTGTTTTGTCTTTGGATGTCTTACGGAGTCCTTTGTTGAAGCAGGAATGCGTAAAACTCTTGCACTCGCATTAGAGTGGTTTGGAATAGCAAGGTTCATCAAATAAGGTTTGCAGGTTTTAGTTACTTGGGCCTCTTTGCTTCTGGATGTTCTTGCACTTTCTTGTCTAGTGGTCGTTTGCGCTTGCGTGGAAGACATCCCCCTGGTTTGGTTAGACTCCATCAGAGGACTGCGCGTTGGGTCTCTCTGAAAGAGGTTCATTTGGCGCCAGGGCAACACGGTTTTAGTTCGCCTTTCCTTCGCGGGTGGGTCAGGAGCGACAGTGTTCAGACACACAGAAGTTAAGTTTGTATTTGCTGCGGTTTGGTTCTTGGACTTAGGTGACGGAGTTACATCCGAGACTATACAAGAAATGCAACATACACTATATCACAAAGTAACACTGACGGAATGACTGACTGTCTAACTGAATGACTTACTGATTGGCTGATCGACGGACTGACTAATCGACTGACTGACTTACTGACTAACTGGCTGGCTCGCTAACTGACTGACTGATTGACTGACTCACTGACTAACTGGCTGACTGACTGACTGACCCACTGACTGACTGGTTGGCTCACTAACTGACTGACTAACTGGCCCACTGACTGACTGGCTCACTGACTGACTGACTGACTCACTAACTGACTTAACCACTGACTGACTGGCTCACTGACTGACAGGCTCACTGACTGACAGGCTCACTGACTAACTCACTGACTCGCTGACTGACTCTCTCACTCACTCATTGGCTCACTGACTGACCGGCTCACTGATTGACTGACTGACTGACTGACCAGCTCACTAACTGACTGGCTCACTGACTGACTGAATCACCGACTGACTGACTCACTGACAGCTTAGCTGACTGACTTACTGACTGATCATCGACTGACTGGCTGGTCGACTGAACGGCTGACTGACTGAATTTCTGACTAACAGAAGGACTTACTGACTAGTTAACTAGCTGGTCAATTTTAGGGGCTGACTGATTGAACCTGGAGGCACAAAAACGAATTTAAGAAAAGAAATCTTTGATGTGATCATATCCTTAAACAATACTACCCTACCTTCAAGTGGCGTGACACCCCTTCTTTTGTTAGAAGATGAATTTGTAACGTACTTCCATACTCGTTGTGTGTTGCTCCGGGTCTCGTTCCTGGTCTGCGCGCTCCGTTGAGAAGCATGCAGCGCCTTATTCATAATCGCGTACGTTTCACGGCTGAGGTTGGTTGATCTGGTCTGGTATCCAGACTCCGTGAGTAATTGAGCTACTTTTACAGCTAGTTCTGGCTTTTTGGGCATTTTTGGTTGAGGCGATGGTGTGAAGCTTCGAGGACAAGGCGTGGAGCTTCTGGGCGGGTCCATACTCGGCGTTTCTCTTCCAGGGCTGTCTATTATAATGGCCTCTGGCGCAGGGGACTTTGTGGGGAGTCTGTAGTCCCTTTTGTGCAGGAGCTTTGTGGCAGTGTAGGGCTCAGGTGTGTTACGTGAGGAAGACCATCCATGTTTTGGAACTGAAAGGTAAAGGTGACAGATATGGAAAGCTTGTGTAGAGAGCACTGAGAATTACGTAGATGCAATTTCGATTGAGCGTTGCAGGAGAGGAGAAAAAAAATCTAAGTGATGACAACGGCCAATCAGTTCGTGTCATTATCGGAAATGTTCGGAAATCTTCGAATGATCCTCGTCACAGACAGACGTCGTTTTTGTCTCTGATAGAATATCCTATCATTAAAATATTTCAACCATCTCTCTTACGGCTTACCCGGCACTCCTTCTGTATGACGATGCCTTTGCTTTTTATTTGCCAAAGAGTTGTTTTAATTCACACCCCCTGATATTATTTACCTGGTGTTTTTGGTGCGCTGAACACCTCTGTCTGCTTCGCAGGAGTCAGCCTCTCTGGTTGAGATCCTTTTTGTTTCTCAAGAACGCGTTCGATCTCCCTTTGAATGGAGGTCAAAGTAAGGGGGTTTTTTTCTTTTGTGCTTTGAGCGTTGACAGATGATACCTTTTGAGCAGATAAAGTACAACAACAATCATTTTGTTCACAATAAGTTCGAGAGATTTTTTACTGGTGTAACTTTTCTGTGCCAGATTATCGATAAGTGGAGACAGTTTAGTAACTACACTTTAACATTGGTAGTCATTTCCCCACACTGGCCTCTTAACATTTCCTTTAGTACTAACAAGGAGAATTTGTTTGGCAATCAGGAGCTTGGTGATCACTTCCTTTATTCTCATGACCCGTACATTTTATTCAAGGGTGATACTCTAAGGAGAAATTATAAGTCAGTCAGTTAAAGGGTTAAAAGGGCTGAATCTGAGGAAGGGTGAGGACTCCTTTCTTTCCTCTCCGGGGTCCTCCTAGGTCCTCAATTTCTATCTTTTTTACGGAAGTTCGCCTCGTTTTTTCGCTCGTCCTTACAAAAAAACTGAGGGCCTGAAACTGGCTATAGCGTGGGCAATCGAGGAAGAGAGTTGACTTTTAAAGGTGCTAGAACTTTGATTCTAAGTTTCATCTTTGCAAGATGAGGTATCGAGTTGATATTGCAGCTCAATGGCAGTTAGTTACCGTACAAGCAAAATAAGACGACCAGTCTGTCTCCTATCTGTCGTTCGCGCCAATCTAAGGTAATCAGCGCAAATATTGGAAGCGAGAGGTACGCGGTGAATACAAGGGGTGCTCGTGGCGGACGTGTGGGATGACACCCTCCCTGTTGTCAAACCTCTTCATTTTTGTCATTCAACAAAAACAACAAAGTAGAAAGAGGTAATGAAAACGAACGCCTGATTTCCAGTCATTTTACAATCCACATGGGTCTAACTGAACATCGATTAATGTTCAGTTTTTTTTCTTTGTGTGGTGTGGTAAGAGCTCTCAACGTCATCCGTCCTTCCCACTCACCTTGGTTATTTCACCAGAAAGCCAAACGTGGGTTAAAAGCTGAGGAATGGTGATCCTCTTTCGAGGGTCCCACGCAAGAATGCTGCGAATAATATGCTGACATTCTGGAAGAAAAAAGAATAACTTTGACTTTAAAGTTATCCTACTTGGAAACAAGTTTGAAACGTGAGCAAGCACCACTCTTAAGCGCGCCTCCTTTCAACGGGCGGTTTTAGCACACATGCAGCAATCGTTCTTGCTACCTCGTCTGCGTCAGTCAAAGTATGAGTTTATTTGATTTTTGTTAGATATACATGTATTCTTTACCTGCTGAACACGTGGCTCTGCTAGGAAATGCTAATTTCATTTTCGTCTGAACGATCAGTGAGTGAAGGCTCTTGTCATTAAATGGCAACCGACCGCATGCCATGGCAAACAAAATAACACCCCTGTAAAGAAATACAATACAATACAATATAATAAGGATAGATTGAAGTGACCTAAGCAAAGAAGAGTTGACTTTGTGCAGTATTTATCTTATCAAATCGTCTGGATAACGGTAGTCCTTAAAATAATTGTTCCTGGTGGCATACACAAATGCTATGACACCGAGAGTTAACATGTAAAACTTACCATACCAGTCAACCTCGTCCCCGTTGTTGAAGGGCAAATGACGCTATCCTACGCGATAAATCGCTATCCAGCAAATAAGTGGATAGAGATGCCATTATCCACCCTTCGAAAAATTGGGGCCTGAACCCCATTAAGGGCACTGACTTTACCGTCAGACCCTCTCTTGCATGACCTTGAGCAAACGATATGACGAAAGAAATCGCCTCGAAAGTAAGCTGTCAGTCAGCTGACTGTAGACTACAAATGTATGTTAGAGGTTGATGAAAGCAATGGAACAGTGAGGAGGTCTCACTTCACCTAGTTTCGTTCTCCTCCATCTCCTTCTTACTTTCCTAACCATAATAGTTTTCCTTGCTACACTTACATGCTCCACACATCTGCACATTTTCCGTCGTATTTCTGCGCCTGCAGTATTTCTGGGGCAGCATATGCATATGATCCACAGAAAGTAGAAAGCAGTTTGCACTTGTTCGTGGGATAGCGAGTGGCAAATCCAAAATCTGTTAAAAAACGATCAAGTTACACGACACTTGCACCAAATTCCACGACATTTTAAAACAAATTGTAGCTGATTCATACACAAGTTACCACAGGGAGGCTTTTGACCACCAGCACGCACCCATTAGCTTGGAGTGCGCAGCGATTGAGTGGCGTGAAATGAAAGCCAAAACAATCACCAAAGCCAATCAGAGCAAAGGTAACTTTTAAGAGGAGCGAATGAGAACTCCAAGTTAAAACAAGTGGTGATAATTGGTTTTAGTTTTGCATTTGATAGAGTTGAGAGGATGCACTGCGCGAGCGAAGTATAGCAAAACTAGTGGGCTCAATGTCGTTTCGCCGTGTTTGGCGTTGACACGATGTAACCAAATATACACCAGGGAACTTTGGACTGCTTAGAACGACGCTCCCAGTCTCAGTAGACAACACGTAAATTGCATAGGAGTTACAACCCGCAATGTAATATCATTTTCATGTTCGACCCTGCATGATCCATCTATTTTTATATCAAGCTAAGCGTGGTTTTATCGGATGCCCTCTAGGATAAAGGAACGCAATCTCCCCTTAGAACACAACGCAGGCTCATGTGACGGTGCAATTGTAATCTGCATTCTTTAACGTTCATTACGCGTACCTGATACTTTAACAATGTTATCTTGATCAAGTAAAATGTTCTCGCATTTGAGATCCCTGCAACAGCGAAGTATTACAATCAATTAATCACAACTTCTTTTTTCATTGCGTAAAAACAAGGCCTTCTCGCTGTCACTCGTATCTTCAAACTTTTATAAAACAACCCAATCCGGCGCAACCCGAATGCTAGGAACGGAATATACAATGACGTTACACAAGTGTTTATTTCATGCGGTATGAGAAATAAATACAGAATGCTACAACTAATAACTTCATGAAAGTAATAATAAAAACAACAACAAATGGAGACTCGGTGTTCTTTAAAACAATTCTTCATCTAACCTGTGTACAACGTTTCTCCGATGACAGTGTGCAACTCCTTCAACAATCTGTCTAAACAGATTTTTTGCCAGTTCCTCTCCAATTCCTACCCCTCTTCTGGATCGCGAGTTAATAAAATCCAGCAAGTCTCCTCTTGAAGCATACTCCATGACGAGATAAATCTTTGATTCCGTGTGGAACGTTTCGTAAAGTTGAATCTTGGGATCAAAATTCATTGGACGAGGTAAATGAGATCCTGCGATTATCCCATCTTCCTTTGAGAGGGCGGGGGCAGGGGTTTGCTAGGGTCAATTGTTGCTGGCCTCTCAAAACTCTCACCTTTTTATGGTCTAGGTTTTGTCCAATTATGTAGACCACTTTTGGTAATACAGTTAAAACTTTTTAACCGCGAATCTTCCCATTTTTAAATCCCTACTTGACATAATTTTCTTACCCAGAAAATGTGCGACCCCATTGTGGTAACTCTATTGAAAATGCAACCCAATGATAATCAATCCAGTCGTGAAAATGCCACCCTGTCCAGCGGTACATCCCTATTAGTTTGTTACTTGAGGTTTTTCAACCCTTTAACTCCCAAGATCTGATTGTTAATTCTCCCCTGTAGCTGCTACACATTTCCTCGCAAATTAGTTATGAGAATTTGATGTTACATCAAGATAGAAAATTATACCTGGGGAATTTTAGTATTCTCGCTGGATAGTGTATGGATGTCATAGGGAGAAGTTACGTGTTAATCACTTCTAGGAGTTAAAGAAAATAACAGAGAAGTGTCTCGGTCAGTTAAGTTTAAGGAAAATCTTTGTTGAAGTAGACAATTCTCCTTACCACATTGTGATGTCTGCAGGTTGAGTTTAGGGAGTCGATTTCTCGAGGCATGAACTTGGACAGATATTCTGGAGGCGCCTTTTTCTTACAAACAACTTTAATCGCAACCTACCAAAGTGACAAAAAACATTAGGAAATAGAAAAGGAACATTTTCTGCCGTAAGGAAACGAGTTGAAAGATTTGGGGGCGAGTGGGAAAAGGTAGGGCTGAACTTGTTTTACTTAGGGACGCGAACTCACAAAGAAGAGGAACGAACTTGCAACGGGGCGAAACCTCCGGTTAACGCCAAAAACTACCCAGTGCTGTCGTGTTTTACTCCCCCGAGGAATCGCGTTGGTCCACTAAAGTTACGATATCATGAAGTGGCGCAGCGCGACGAAAGCAAAATTAAAAAGCTTCAAAACTACATCAACGTCGGTCAAGTTAGACTAGACTCCTGCGTTTGAATAACTAAAGGCTACTTTTCCTACCATATTATGTCCTTTTTCTTCGAGATCACTGGCCAGTCTTTTGTCCCTCTCCACTTTACTTTCCATCACATAGGCAAGCTTCACTTTGGCATAAGCTCCTGTGCCTAGAACTGTTTTTGTAAGCTTATATCCTCTTCTTTCGCAATCTACCTCATCCAAAGTCATAGACGAACGAAGTCCCACAAAACCTGAATCTTGGACACCGTTCAAAGGTCGTTTGGCTCTAGTACTCATGGCTGAAATCTTCATTTCGAGCCTCGCAATGTCATTAAAAGCTAAATTTTGAAAATTAGAGCCTCAAATACCATTTGTAGAGCTGCTAAATTCGATTGATCTTTGCATTTTAAAGAGACGCTCGCACATTGAAAACACATTCGTGGAACGTTTCGCTTTTATGACGTGTAGGCATACAAAGGTAATGTATTCCAGCGCGCGCTCTTTGCTTAGATCCTGGTCGTAAGTTGCTGGGCTAACTCTAAAAAGACAGCTGAAATACAAGGTTAGAGACAAAAAATTTATGAGAATAACAGAAGAGGAAAAGTTCATAAACGCACATAAACTCATAAACCGTTCTATCTTCTATCCTATATCTGGCTCTTGACGTATTGGACTAGATTTTTCCTTAGCTCTTTGGAGCCGGTTGAATTTGGATTTTGTTAGATAAATTTTCCTATAAATTCTGCCATATTAAAAGATTCCCAGTAAAAACGATGTAACAGTGCTTGTTTTTCTTCTGTTTTTGTGTTTTATTTTGATTTTTTAGTGTTGTTGTTGTTGTTTTTTTTTTGTCCTTTACTGTCTTTTCCTCTCTGGAGTTTGGAGCCATTTAAAAGTAGTTTGGTGTCTTGTGATTGGGCAATATTAATCTGGCTACTGATTTTTGACGTTTTCCCACGGTGCACTAGAATGGCTTACTCCCTACTACGTAGTCAAAAGAGCTGCCATGTAACAGTACTGTGGTGAGCTAGTTCTGTTAGCAGATGAAGGTCTAAAATTGTTCGCTCTACAAATAACACCTTCTTTTATCCATATGGCGAACGAAACTCTTCAAGTGAAAAGTAGGAATCCGGCGATTTTTCAATTACAAGAAGGCGGCGAGTTCTTTATGATTGGAAGCGAAGTTGGCCATCGAATGGGTTTCATGAAAGGAGCTCTCTACAAGAAATTCCCTTCACTATGGCGCAGAGCTCCGACGATCGAAGAAAGGAAAATTTTGCTTTCTTTAAATGTTGGCTACAACAGTATGTCAAATTCGAACATTATGCTGGTAAAGGCATCTGAGATTGAAAAAGTAATCAGAGGTAGTGGAGAGCAGTATATGGAAAAGTTACCCAACTCGCCAACTGACCGAAAGATGAAAGACATTGCTCAGCGTTTTAGACGGCCAAATTTTCCTGGACCACTTCATTTTCCAGGAAATATTTCTCGAGAAGCGCTTAATTCTTCAGTTCAACATCTTAGTGCAGTTTCTTACCAAACAAGAAACAACAGCAAGTCTTGCAGCAGGTTTAGTTGGAAGGCTCGTGAAGAACTACGGAAAAAGATCTTGCCAAGTCTAAGGTAGGTTAAAGTGGACATAGTTCCAATCATCCATCTTGTATGACTTTTAATCTCAGAAAACCTTGTTGTATTTAAGCTTACCAGACTGATTTCTATAATAAATATTTTAGCGAGAAACCGCTATATGGAGAGCAAAGATAGCTAGTTGATGTGTAAATTTGAGACACAAATTAGAGATTGCGGTCTTCTTGAAACTAGCCTAAGCTTTTATCAAACAATATTTGGGGTAATTTAACTTCACAATTCTCCAAAAAAACTAAAACCCAGACATTACAGATACATTTCCTCTTCATCATCTTTCCATAAAATTTATGCCATCATGAAATGAAATACGTCTGTTTAAAAGTGAAATATACTTGGCCGGGTATAATCCGGTCAGTTTCAATTAAAGAAGCCCTTTCTTTACAAAAAATTATTGTAATACCAAACTTTCATTACATAAACATTTTTTAAAAAGTTTAAACGCTGTGAATTTTCATTTCAAGTACGTTTTTCTTTGTTAAATGGTTCCTTGAATTGAAAACCACATGAACGGTATAGCTCACGTACATTTTTGACAGCCTTGCCCATTGATTCTTCGCTCTATAAAAAAATTTATTCCTGTGCCCTAATATTTGAATATTTGGCAGTAATTACACACTTTCCAAGTTCTTCGATAACTTGTGTTTTGTTTAAGTGAAAGAGCCACTGAAAATTTTACTGCACCATCTAGGTTGTTTTCGGAATTTAAACGTTTGACAAAAAAAGGGAAAATCGTAAATCGTTAGCCACACTCTAACGCTGTGGAGTTTTCTCATTGAATAGAGTTTTAATGATTAATATGTGGCACTCGAAATGAATTCAAACCGTAAAAGTGTTGAAGGTGATACGAATGGAAACGAAAAACATCAGAAGAAGTTCAACGCCGTTTCAACCGTGAGATACTGAGTATGACTTGAATCTCTCGAAGCACTGTGGGTAAACGTGATAGAGAGAAAAGAAAGATGGCGGTCCGCACATATGGTCAAAAACCGAGCTCTTTTCAGCTTGGAGATGGAGAGCAATATATGATCGGATCCGAAGTGGGAAACTTTCTGCGAATGTTTAGAGGATCCTTATACAAAAAGTACCCTTCTTTGTGGCGAAGACTTGCAACACTCGAGGAGCGAAAACAAATTGTACAGTTAGGATTAGGACACAGTAGCATAGCTACAAATGTCACTTTGTTAAAAGCTACTGAAGTGAATGAAATCTTAGAGGGAAAAGACGAAAAGTATAAAGTTTCCACGGAGGCACCCGATGCAGCGTCAAGGAATGCGGGTGGTAAATCAAAACGGAGCAATCAGCCGACTTGGGCACCACAAACATTGTTTTCGAGTAATTCCTTCCATCTCGATGCTGTACCATGCTCGTCTACAGTGAACAGGAATCGAATAGGACCCAAAAGGATAAAAACATTTCCCACTTGGTAAATGGCTAAATGTTTGAAAACTCTGTCGCGAAATTTTAACCTATTCAAGGTTAATCGATGATAGTAGCAAAGAGATCGATTTTTTTTCCTAGTTTTATTTTGTTTTCAGTGGAACTTGGCATTTGTTGTTAATATGGTTTCAGATAAATGAGAAACTAACACCACTGTTGATAAACAAACAACAGCTGATTACAAGATAGTGTTGTATTTTGGGTGCCTCTTGATAACATTGGTTACCTTTCACCCACTTAGTAGAAAAGTTCTTTCTCACGAGTATTCCAGTTTAATGTTATGCCAAGTAATGCTTTGTTGTTGCATTTAAGTTATGACGACCATGACATGGCTGCCATCCATGAGGCTGCAAGTCAACCTGAAGTGTTGGTGCCTATCAGGCTGGACATAGACATTGATGGACAAAAACTTCGGGATACATTTACATGGAACAAGAGTGGTAAGTGCATGATAATCTTTGCGTAAGGGTGATCAAAATGACAGAGGGAACTGAGGCTTACAGTTTTTAAAATCAAGAAGATTTCATAAGGTATTCCTGACTGATCTCTTAGAACAACAAAAAATTGTCCTCAGAACAAAAAAATTAATACTCACTTTGAGAAGGATTTTTAGTTTTGGCCTAGCCTTACAAACAACTACCTGCAATTTCTTTTCTGAAATTGGTAATCAGTAGGGAGAAAACCCTTCTCAACTGTTTCATGGAGACCCACTTGATGGAGTTGCACGCAAAGTCATGGTGAGACAAATGCAAGTTGATACAAGTATTAAATCTTCCCATCTAACTTCATGTTGAAGTTGTTGATGTGACACATACACTGTCACAAAAGATTGTGCTATTGGTTGTTCAGTTTTAGTCCTTCTTAGATGCCTAAATTTTGTTTAGTACATTGTTTTTGTATGAACATTTCAATGGCAAAAAGGAAAAAATTACCTTTTTGTGGAAGTGAGGATAGTGTAGGGTAACAAGTTGCATAGTCTATGTGGTTTTCTGTGTGAAGTGAGCAAAGGTACAAACACTTATTGAATGAAGTTGGCAAAGTGCTTTCAGCACTCATACAACCATGTCTGTCACTTTGCTTCAATTTGATTATGTCACAAGAAAAAAATATATCTGATGCATTTTGATAACTCAGTTTGTTTGCTGTTTTTTTTAAAATTATTATTCAAGCTTCCCTCCAAAGGTCATGTTGAAATCTTTGATGTTACACACACTCTTTTATTTATGACTGTGCTGTTTTACTTTTTGATTTTTGTTCACTCAGGTGGCCCTTTGTTGTTTTTTCATTCTATAGAGACACTAATTTCACCAGAGGTGTTTGCAGAAGTGTTATGTGATGATCTTGATTTGCCTGCAGCAGCTTTTGTGCCTGCTGTTGTCCAGGCCATTAGGCAGCAGATCAAACAGTTTGACTCAGATTCTGAAATAAGCCTGGACAAACAAACAGATCAGAGAGTTATTATCAAGGTAGGGTGCTTGGAAGTTTTAGATAATTCTTTGCTCTTAAAACTTATTATACATGTATTTGTGCTTTGAGAATACGTGAAAATGGCCTAATTGTTGTTATATGCCATTTGTGTTCTTTTTAACCATCACAGCTGCTATTAAGTCATGGAAATTCCCTTTGCACTCAGTTTTGAGATCTGTGAGTTATAGGAAGAACTGCAGTTGAAAAGCAGAAGTTTTTTTCTATAGTGAATGTATTTCTCAGGGTAGCATTAAATCACAGACCTCAGGAAAAAGTCATTTTTTGTCTCATTGTCCCTTAGTATGTGACAAAACTTGCATCACCAACTTAGCACTTGTTTCATTTTCAAGTGCAGGCAGTATTCCTTTGTATGTAATGTCTTAAACCAAAGCAGTCAAAAGTATAATCTCTTAGCTCTGTGTACTTAATTAGTGATTTCAATAGCTTTTTAAGGAGGTGTCATAGTGTGATAAAATATATGACAGTTCATGTACCTTCTATGAAACATTCAATTGATGATCAAGGCAAGAATAGCTGTAGTGTGTCTTCAGGTGTGGAGGGGATAGGAGATGTAGAATTGGTGTGTTTCATCAAGACATTCCTCTGTTCAGTCTCTTCTTGTCTTAAGTTCTTTCCCTATGGAGAGGAAAGCAGAGGGTGTGAAAACTAGAGGGTTATTCAGCCTTGCACTTCTCAGTTTCAGTAGAATTTTTGCCAACTGAGTTGAAGTTGGTGATGTCAAATCTGGGTACAGTCAAACCTTGATTATCTGGACCTCAATTATCCGGATTTTTTGGTTATCTTGACTTTTTCTCTGGTCCCATTTTTGTCATGAATATTTATTAGTCTTGATCAAGATCCATAGCCATATTCTTTTTAAAACTATAGCGTTGAAAAGTGAAGTAAAGGCGAGTTTGTTTCACTTTCAAAAAGCAAAAGCAGCACTCATATGCATTGTAACCTATGAAGAACATCCGAGGTCCAATTGGCTTAGAGTTGCTTTGTTGCTATGTGAAGCTTCGCACTCTCTTAGCTTGTTCAGCATGTTATGCAAGATAAACAAGCTACACAGCGTCACAAATGTTTGTTCCTCGTTAACATTCATATTCTTGATTATCCCGACCCTTGATTATCCAGACCATTTCATCAAGTCCCAATAAGTCTGGATAATCGAGGTTCAACTGTATTCAGTTGAAGTGTTTCAAAGAATTGACAGTGAAAGAGTAGAACAGCACGTGTCTACAATTTCAGCACCAAACAGCTACAAAAACAGCTGTAGCAATGATAACCACACACACAACTAAAGTTGAAAGTTTGCTGATTTAAAGAATTCTCTTGCAAATGAAGGTAACAGCTTAGTGATGGGTTGATTTTTAAAGTTGAATTTGGTAGGAATACATGCATGTCCCTTTTCTGTTATTGGTTCAGACATTGAGATACTCTCTGGGTCCTTCAAAGATCTTCTGAGCTCTTTATCATGGAAAAATTGGATGTCAGTCAGCTTATTTGAAAGCCTTCACCTCCTGAACTTTGCTTCTGGTCTCAATTTTGAGTGACCACATTCCTTTGTTAATTTCATCCAAACAGCTTAATATCCATGTTGGTAACATTTCCCTAATGGACCAGTTTGAGTGGGACTTGTCAGAACCTCTTAACTCACCTGAAGAATTTGCATTAAGCCTCTGTTCAGACCTGGGCCTGGGTGGCGAGTTTGCCACAGCCATTGCATACAGTATTCGTGGTCAACTTAATTGGCATTCAAAAACATATGCCTTCAGTGAGGCACCCCTCCCAAGTGTCGAAACTGCCATAAGATCAGGGACAGATGTTGATAATTGGGGTCCTTACTTGGAGACTCTGACTGATGCAGAAATGGAGAAGAAGCTTCGAGACCAAGACAGAAACACTAGGTTTGTATTGTATTGTATTTGTTTTTTTTCTTACAGTTTCATCACCAATTATGTATCAATGGATTGAATTGATAAGTATGCTTATTTTCTTACAATTTCGGCAGCTGCTCTCAAGATGTTGAAGAAAAACTTTTTTTTTATAAGAATTTTGGCAGCTTATTCCAAAACATTAAAGAAAACCTATCCTATTTGTTGGACAAAAGTAATCCATTTGCCTTCCATTGGCTCTTTGTCATGTTTTCTCTTTGAATGGCAGTTTTGATTACCTTAGTTTTAGCTTGACAGCAATCAACAAAATGTACTTTATTCAATGCAATTTGTAATTTCTTGACGTATTTTGGGGATATTGTTAGAGAAATGGTTTAGTAAGAGTTGTATCTGTAATTCTCTTACAGACGAATGAGGCGTCTTGCCAACACAGCTCCTGTCTATTAGAGTGTGGCTCTGTCTTTGCAGAAACATTGCATTTAGGATTTATTATACAATAGTTACGTTCCTTGTTCTTTGTAAATAACTTAACTTAATGTAGAGGAAAACAAGGACTAGTTTGGGTATTGAAAGAAAAGAAAATTGTTCAGATTTAGTGAAGAAGGCTTTTTGATGTTCATTGGACTTGTTTGTATGTTTGCATCTTTTGTTGTTGGATATATTGCTGTGAAAAATTTTATGAATAAAGATTTTAATACTAAATAACTATTTAGTGAATTTCAGATTGATAATAGGGCTATACAAGATGTTCTTTTTACTGAAATAAGGGGTTTCTAACGGCATAAATGTATTCCACATCGTCCTGTGGTCAACCACAAAATGAGATAGTGTCCTGTGGTCAAGGGTGCAAGCAACTTTAAGATCCTGTTTTTGTATACATGTATCAATGAGCTATGACTCTTTTTCCCTTTTCCTGATAGAGAACCACCCATGTCAACTTAAGAACAATCTTTGAATTGGACCAGTCTTGTTGAAAAAAATATAACTTGTATGTTTACATATGAAAATTTCCTTCATGTATCGAAGTGTTATCAATCAGTCCTTTTTCTCTTGATCTAATCCTCTTATTTTCTAATAGCTTTCTCCTCAAATGTTTGGTGAGTCTTTTCGAGTTCATCTATTACCTCCAACAGCTTCGTAGCCATAGCTCTTTCGGCTGTTGAAGACGTATGTGAGTCCTTTACTGATATCTCTTCATCTTTCGCTGTGTCGTAGGATTCTTGAGAATGTTTCCGCTGCTCATTAATTCCAAGAAATTTCTTTCGAATCTCGTCTCGACTTTGAAGAAGCTGTGTAAAAATCATCTGCGCTTCGGAGTCTGGGTCCAATGGATCTCGCCAGTCGCTCAAGGTCACGTGTGTATGTGTCCGCTGACAACCTCCAGCTGAAACAGGGCGTAGAAATTTTTTGTTAGTCTTCACAAGCTGGGGTTTAAAGTATTAAGGCGCAATCAACCGAGCCTTTCCCACTTTCTTATTGCAAGGCACGAGTGAGGCATGTGGGTGGGTTATAATCGACCTGCTTCACCGCTAGAGCTCTTCCTAAGGTTGGATTGGTTTTTATAACCCTTTTACAAAACACGTGATTGAATCCACTGACCTGATTGAATGACTCGCTTACAGCATGTCCATTTGTTTTTGTGAAAGACTCCCGGATGGAAGTAATTGAGCAGATTAGTATTAGAAATGGTGGTCTTCCTTATCGCTGAAAGCCACTGATTCATTTCGTTCACATCCTGAAGACAAAGTAAAAAGTTATCAATTTTTTTGTTGCCTGCAGCGAGGCTCTTGCTTGCGGGCTCAGCAACAACCTTTGTGTAGCATACAAGCTGTCGGGGCAGGCGTGGTTTATTTTTCCACGAAGAATGCGCACAGTTTGCATTATTGCATGAGTTTCTGACGTGACGATAGTATAATTTACCTGAGCGGCGAGGTAGAGAATTTGCAGAGCTTCATCATAACCCTTACTGACCACTTGAAACACGTTGGGTTTTTGAAAAGCTGACTCGTCAACTCGTTCCACGGCAAGAATTTTTCTGGTTGGAAGAAACTGCCTTGTCTGTAAAGTGGAAAGGTCAATTAGACAGAGTATGGGAGTGGCACACCCCCTTATTTTGTTACATCATACATTTATTACCATTACGATAGAAGCTAATGGTTGAACGCAGAGATCACGTCGAACTAAGTTATACCATCTGATTGGTTTCCGTATACATTTCGTCTTAATACAAAACTAATTCCGGACCAGCTGCTGAAGCGCATCTCGGTTTATATGTCAAGTTACCTCCCCCCTCCCCCAATTCGCTCCTTTCCAGGCTTGTCGTGGTTTTTTCGACTATTAGACGGTACCCGTGTAAGTCTTGGGGGTAGGAGGGGGAGGGGGGCAATGCGATGGTTACATGTCTTTTATAATAACACAACATCATGACCGAGGATAGGGATTGCACCTGCATCTTTTGGGTCAGCCATAAGAGTGCGGTGTCTCCGATGCCATTTACCGATATTTGGAAATAAATCTCACCACAGGTCTATTGTAATCTTATGCAACGCCTTGCTTTGATAATGTGTTACCTGTGAATCGTTTGTTTTGGCGTAAAGGAAATTCTCAGTGCTGAGCCAACAATGGCGCTTTTTGAACTTGAACGGCTTTGGCAGCCTGGTGTCCCTGTAGCGACTTTTCTTGAGAGAGCCTTCCTTGATGATCAGTGAGTGACTGAATACGGTCCTCCTGTGGTCACAACCTGGAACTGAAAATTATAGGGGACAGAGAATAAAAGAAGGAAACAAAAGTAGTTTTAATTTAGCAATCAAAGAAACACCAGGAGAGCCTTAAAGGTAGAGAATCATCCGCGAAGATTTGCTCCCCTTTCGAGTGGTGGTGAAGAGGAGACTACATTTTTTGACCAATGGAATACGCCCAAAGTGTGCCTAAGCCGTCATTCACATACCACCTCCAATCGAAAATTCGTTATTTTTTCACTGTTTCATTCTTCGAGTCAAGACTGTTTTTATTACTAAAGTTAGGATATGGCGAATGCCCTGCTATCAAAAGATAGATACCTTCTGTATCTTCCACGTCTGCAAGCTGATCCAGGAAGTCCTTTACTTCATCAGTGTACAATGCGATCCACTTGTACAGTGGTCCCATCCATTCCTCCTTTCCGTTTTGAAGAGGGAGTTCTATGTTGCCAATCTTCTGGACAGTCTAACAACAAAGGCAACAAACAAAACAGAACAATCAGAAATATTTCTTGCGGTTTGACGACAAAAGAGATTTCACGTTGTCCGGGAACGTTTAAAGAAAATTGCATCGTCGTGACTTAATTCTGATTGGGAAAGTCTTAAATTCGCAAATCAATGAAACCAACCCTTTCCCCTTCTCCTTCTTAAGTTTGACAGGCACACATTCTTATTTGTCGTCATCGTCCTTCTCTTCCTAAATACTGACCTTTGCTAGGATGGTTAGGGTGCGGGATACATTTTTGTCGGCGTGGTTTTCACGCAGACCGAAGAGCTTGGGTCCAAGTATTGCTGGCACATAGAATCGTAGAAACAGGAAACCACTCACGGCTGTGTACTTAGAGTCCTGAAAAAGGAATGATTTAGTCATTTCTAACATTTGAGATTGTATTAGCTACGATTAAATCAAGGCTGTGGGGGACTGAGGAGCAGTCTTTGCGTGCCTCTTTAGTTTCCAGGCTACACTGTGTCAATATACGCTATCTGAAATATCTTCAGTTTTGCGGACTTTGACATCTTCACTTTGCGCTTTATTTTCATTAGTTCTCCCGAAAGATTTGGGCTTCGGCCAACAGGATGAAAGATGGCGATTTTAGGAATTGGTTATATCACATAGAGGAATTTCCAATTCACCCTCCTAACCAATCAAAAGCAAAACTACAACCAATAGTGACTTGTCCACTTGTATTTTCCCGCGCATCCGGCAGGTTGCTTGAACTTAACTTTGAGCTCTGATTGACTCCTTGTGATATTTTCTATGATCTAATTGGCCGCTATGATTACTTTGGTTATTTTGGTTTTACGACCAATGCATACCATCCAATCTCTTTACTAGGAGATTGTTTTAAAACCACAAGCTTCTTAGAGGGACTGGCATACAATTTCTTAAAGTTTCACCGCTGAATCAAACACTGAGGTCATGGAAATTAAGGAAATGGAAATGTATTGTGAATAGTATGGAAAATATGTATGCTGATGTTTAAGTTTAAAGGGTTAATGGTGAAAACTGGAAATCAAGCTACAAATAAGCATTTCTGGTGATTCACCTCGTAATCAGGTATATCACCAAAGCGATCCGAGACTCTCCGAGCGAGATTCCTGAAGGCCGCGCGCATGTAGCTTGGACATTCTTTGACTGAGTTCAGGATTGACATCATGACTGTTTCTAAGTAAGTGGTCAACACTGACAGACTCTTGTCTTGCTCGTCAACTGGCCTCAAGCTTAGGCGTCTGCAAACAGGTCAGGAAACTGAATTCATAGGTGTTATAATTTTCATAGGGGGTTTTACGAAAAGCAACGTCTCCGTGAGTTTTTCTCAGAAACGGTACCTAGTTAATCGTCTGCATCTGGTACCATCCTCGATCCTTTTTAGGCTACCATAAACGAATATGAGCGTTCCATTAACCCCTGTTCCTTCTTAAATGAACTCCGATCCTCCCCACTAGAGCTTCAAATTTGTAATAATCCATCTCCCCCTTCCCCTTCCCCTTCCCCACCCACTGTTCCTTCAATCTCGCCCCTTAAACAAACGTTCCCAAATAAAATTGTAAGTAAACCGAGAAGTCAAGTCAGTTAAGAAATACTGCTCAATCAAACACCAACTTCTCTGAGCCATTATAGTAATACTTGGAGAAAAAAAAATCGAAAAAAAAAAATCTGCGGTATCCGATGGTCTGAGGTACGATTCTTAATGAGGACTCAGAATTTTTTCTTTATCCCGCGCTCGTGACAAGACGAAAAACATTTTTCTCTATGTCTTTACCGAGCTCAAAACTTGCCATCTCTGTTATTCTAATAGTAATACTTGTATCGCAGACAATGCAAATAATTGATATCTTGATCTGGGAAGGTAAATGCGTCCTTTTAATCACATGTTCTGCTAATCTCGTGTCTCTACTATTCCTTCCGATTGGTTTGTTTGTGGGGCCTAAGTTTTCAAAGGCTTTTATTTGTCAGTGATGATTGGTTCAAATGACCGACTAGTATACCTCACCTGAGAGCGCTTTGTTTCCGTTCTGCAGCTTTGCATGGATCGAGTTCGCAGTATTTGCGTTCTTCAAATATCTTGTCGAGAACTGGTTTCAATGTTTCCGAAAGGTATGGCATACCTACAATCTTACAGTGGAAAAACGACCTCAGTAGTCAGAAAATTTTACTGAAAAGAGGAACGATAGCAAGCTATCCAGGCCATAAAACCATAGACGGTAAAGTTGTGGCTGAACCTCTGTGGAGACCTCGCATCTAAAACATGCATTTATTTCGTGTCCGAGCACCATACGTTTTTCGATGTTAGTCACCTGGATTGCTTGTTAAATTAAGATGATATTTCCTCGTTGATCATCTCATGTTTAGTTGAGCACTGTTTACATTACCTTCATGAATTGTTCCATACACTTGGCTGCCAGACTGTTGCCTCTAAACAGAGTCCTAGGACAACCTATAAACAAGAAAACAGTAACAACAAAAACGTTGTGTGGCTGGTAAACAAGTGAACTCTTCTGAGGAAAGTTTCTTGAGAGAGAATCCCACTTCTTCAAGATCTTCTATTTGCGCGAAATTCACATTCCAGATTTTTCATTTTTGTTTATATCCTCAAAGGGGTGGGGAGGGGGGGGGGGTGGAGAGTCGAGCTCTACTGTCTATTAGCACTTGAGGGCGTGAAAAGTTGATTCATGAAAAGAGTAAGGCAAATGGAGGCAATGACCCCTCCCCCCTTTTTCCTTAGCTTCCCCCTCTGGTCCTGAAGCAGGATTATGCGATGGACTGGCTTTTGGATATTTCTATTGAATGCTTAGCATGAAGGCAAAGCCGAAGTTGCGATGGGTTCGTAGTAACTCCTTCTCAGCTATTTGATAACCTATGCTCTTATCAAAGTCTTTATCACATAAAGAAATTAAAGTACAAAGCCATTACTTATACTTGTATTCCTTATTTCGCGAAGAGTCAGATAGTCGAGAAACGGTATAACGAGATCTTGGCCAATAAACAGACGAACAAGCTGGTGAGCCAGAATTGCTTGGTCAGCGGCAGTCAGCTGTTCTATTAAGCTCAACGCTGTGGGATCCAGGCTCTCCGGGTCCTTAGCGGAGTTGACAAGAATCTCTATTAAAGACTGGTAACATTTCTGCGGTAAGACGCGTTCTTGAGTCAGACGGACCTTCATTCGGATACTACCGAGATTCTCTCTGTCGAAAGACGCGAAAGTGAATCCTTAACACTGAGTTAGAAAGTGATGAACATGATTTGTGTGTGTTTCTTGACCGAACAGTTGACTCAAATAAATCTTCTCAAGCGATTGGCACAATTTCTATATGCATGGAGGGAAGACTGGAAAGCTGGTTTCGGAATATAAAGGCGAGATTTACTAATAAATCCTGAGAGATAATGCTTATTACTGAAAATTTATGGATACAAAGTTCTCTGTCGTAGTTTTGATTATTTCGTTTTTTCGTTTTCCTTACTTCTCACAAGCTCCCTCCGATAGTAAGTTACCAGAGAACCTCGATTTCATGCACTTAGACCCAGGTCCGCGTCCAAAAAAACATAAATAGACCCTAATTGGTATGATGCATGACTTACGTCTTAATTTCTTTCAACTGAGGCATCGGGAGCAGCTTGTACCAACAGTCTCGGGTTTGTCCTGGCTTAAGCTTCGACAGGAAAGTCGTGACCTGATAAAAAACAAAGGTAAATAAAGCCAAACATTGTAAGATTGTGCGGTCTTCGACTCTCGTTTGTAAAAACTGCTACAGCAAATTGGAGCAATTCTTTTTTAATGGTTGTCGAAAGTTATCTGGGATTACATTTAGTTTGCCTTACATCGCCCTGTGATTGGTCCAAAAAACTCATGACATCATATACACCAATCAGAAAAGATGTGGAAATAAATCAGGAGCCCATATAATGGGCTCCTGAATAAACTAATTACAACTTGACGAAAGAATACCAACTGATGATTGGTGTCATTGAAAAGTTTCTGAGTGTCAAGCGCTTGGACGGCTTTGTACTCTGTATACAGGGTTGGAGAAAAACATTAAGTTCGAAATTTTTGGCTGCCTGGAAGTGCTTGAGAATTGTAAATAAAGGCAGAACATTTTTGTACAAATATTTTTTGGATTTCGAAGAGAAATATGGAAAAATATCGGACTTCCGGACGTTTAGTTATTTTAAGACCGTGTCCGGCTGCCGGACGTTTAGTCACTTCATTTCAGAAACGTCGGCGACACTGACAGCTTGCGTTACAATTCTTATTTGCTGCTTTGCATGGACAACAACCTCATCCACTCTTTCGAGCGCAAGCTCCTCTCCGCGGGCAGGAAACTTCAACTGATCCCTGGTCCTATTTAACAAGGATGGCAAACTTCAATCAAAAAAATTGATGTATAAATGAAAACGTGGTGGATCAACATTTTCACCTTCCTCGGAATGCTCGCAAGGATTTTCGTGTTCCTGAATAAGTAATTCGGGGTATCGAAGTTGTGTATCAAACTCAGCAGGGAGTGGTCCATGATTTGTTTACTGCTTATCGCCTTTGGGACGTTTCTCTCTGATTCGGGCTTCGTTATAGTAACCGAAGCACAACAAGCCAAGATCCTACTGCACTCAGTGAATAACAAAAGTTCGCCGAATGCATTTGAGCTGAACCTTGATGTTTTGAAAGAGATATCACAGATGGAGCCACCGATCCGAGTTATCGCCGCCGTTGAAAATGCTCGAGTTGGAAAATCAACCTTCCTAAACGTATTCAGTTCTATTATCAGTCGAGAGGGAAAATCTAACGCAATTAAAGAGGTTTTTAAATCTGGTGCCTCGTTGGATCCTGGTGTGTGGGCGCACATAATACGACATCCCGATAAAAATGGAAGCATACTTTTGCTTGATGTGGAAGCTCCAGATCTAGGAAATGATAGTGTAACTGATCGCCTTAGTATGTTTACAGCCATGTTGTCTTCCGGACTGAATAGATTTGCGCTACAAGTCGTGAAAGACGGAGATATCGACTTCCTTTATCGCATAGTACGCTTGAGCGAGCTTGTCTTCGAAGGAAGAGATATTCCAAATAATTTCCCCAAACTTCGAATCGTTTTACGGACAAATCTAGACGTCCCCGATGATGACAGCCTTGAAGATTATATCCTTCAGAAAATCTTTCATCCTGACGGGCAGAGCATGGGAAAGGAGAAAACGATCAAGAAATACTTTACAAAAGATCGTATTTCAGTGAGTCACATCCCTTCGGTGGATAATCCCTCCGAATTATTCAGAGACCTAAAGCAATTGCAAAAAGAGTTCTGCTTGGAATTTGTTCGAAAAGTTGGTGCAGAAGATGAAGGACAGCCCTGTAAAAAATACTTCTAAAGGCCTTCCGATTGACGGTGAAGCACTTCGTGTCCTCACTAAAAAGTTCGTTGAAGCAATGAATAGTGCTAATGTTTCTTGGAAAGATTTCGGAAATGTATATGCCGTCATAGAAAGGTATATTTGTACAAGAAGATACGAAAAGTATATCAAGCCTGTCTTACTGCAGCAAACCTCGAGAGAAATGGAAGACAATATGTTAAAAGCTTTAAGTAAATTTGGACAGGAATGCAGTCTACCAAGCGAGATAGAAAAGGCGGAGGAAGAACTTACGAGTACGCTGAAAGAGAAAAGAAAGCGCGAGGAGGAAGAAAAAAATAAGACAAGAAGAATGGAGAAGATTGGAAAAACAGAGAACAAGATATGAAGAAGAAATAAGGACAATAATGGAATAAAAAAGGAGACTAGAGGAAGAAAAAAAAAGACGAGAAGAAAAGGAAAAATTGGTGGGAATATGCTAAGAGCGCTGCTAAGTATTTAACCCCACTCCTCGCAGGTGCCTACTTTTTCAGCGACGAAGATCTGAAAGACAATGTAACAACTCTTGCCTGCTCCGAGTTCAACGATATCGGCCTGAGGGGGGTCTGCTGGAAATGGAATGAAAACGCTCAGAAGACCTTCGGACTGATCGGGGAGGACTGCGGAGTGATTGCTCAGGAAGTTAAAGTTCTATATCCTTGGGCTGTGACAGAAAGAACGGATGGCTATCTACGAGTGCACTATGGTATTCTGCATGAAATGATCAACGTTGCCCACAGCAAAAGGCGGTCATCTCGTTTCTTTTTTAAGTTTTTATAGTTGTATCAGTCAATCTGGAATCCCTGACCTAGACTTGTTTACTTGTTTCAGTTGTAGCGCATAGTCAAAACCAAGAGAATTGAAACATCTCATCATAATGGATGTAGGACGGAAGCCAGGACCCCCAAAAAGAGTTCCGTAGACTGATCGAGTGAGAAAAAATATGATAGTGGATTTTGATAGAAAAATGCTGGCTGATTAATGTCAAGTAGTTTGAAGTTGTTTTGTTGTATAGGTGTTATATCAAGGGACTGTATCTATACACCACTCCTTTAAATCATGGAAATGAGGCGCAGCCATTAAACCACTGATATTGCCTACACTTATTACTGCCTACACGGAAATCTTCAATTATAGTTACATCTTTACAACACGAATCTCAAACATGGTTGTGCAAATTGAGGTCACGTGACCGAGCGCCATTTATTCGGCCTCTGTAGCATAAATGGGTGAAAGGCGCATTTGTATTCTGTTATTTTATATGAAAGGGCCATACAATCTACAGTTCTAACCAAATTTCAGGTTATTTAGCTCTGTATTACGCGACACCGTATTAAGCGGGTACCCTGTAACAAACGGTCGATTTCGACAGGTCCAGAATTTTTTTCCCTCAAATGCTGTAACTTTTGCCTCTATCATGGATAATGATCAGATGAAATAGCGTTTTTGACCTTTTTTTTTATGACTTACCTCTGTGGCACCTGTATTAAGCGATCATACCGCCATTCTTCGTTAATGACTGCTGAACACAGGTTCGACTGCACCATTTTCGTCCCATTTACGGTTGGATATTAAACGAGGCTCACTAAGGTAATCACTGTTTACATCCATTCTTTATGCATTCATGCAGAACAGTTACTGATATATCGTAAGCTGTTTATGACAGGGCCAGCCATGCTAAACCAATGCAAAATATGGCCACGTGATTAGGCATGTGAACTCCGAAGAGGCCTCAATCGCTTTTGCGTAACAAACGAGTGAAATTATACGTGTATCTGTGTTATCCTTCGAAATATCTAATTTTTACCACATTCTAACTCAGTGAGTTGCGTACTGGGACGAAAAACACGATGTTATTGTTATTTTGTTCTTGTTCTTAATCATTTATCCGATTTATTGTAGGGATGATATTTTACGAATTCTCGCACCTCACTATAGTTCAGTAAGGTACATTTTAAGACTAGAAGACGCGAAATCATCACTAATTTTGACCTGTTGAGCATGAAAGTGGCTTATCTTGACGTTACTCGACAGAAAGCGAACCTTTCAAACATGGACGCCTTAAACGCCAACTATTTTAAAGTACTTCTGTAATTCTCTATCCTCATCACTTCCTTCTGAGTCACTGACACAGGTCAGAGCGCGGGGTTCTTGAAGGCTTCATCGTCTGCCATGCAGAAGTACCCTTCTGTGCAAGCAAGTCCTGTGTTGGCATGCTGGCATGCTGCTGCCGGTGCTTTTGTGATGAGCAGTGGCACGAGAAGCCCCCTGTCCCAAAGCTATCCATGACCGTCCCTTCATGCTTCGCCCCTTCGGTTTCATAACGAAAGTGAAACCGCTTATACTGCATCTTTGATCAGGAATTAATGTGTTTTGCAACGTTTGCAAGGCTTGAAACGCCCCGGAAAGAATGAAAACCAACGAAGGTAAAATGAAGCAGACTTTTCCATACTTAACAACAGTTAACGTGTAAGTCTTTAAATGGAGACCATAGAGACCATAGAGATAAGGAAAATCTAGTATCATTTAACATTGGTAAAATGCAAATTACCCTATGGCTTCCTGTTTGGCCGAAAGTGATTTCATGAATTTTAAACAGGTATTTTACCCTCGTGGTCTCACCGAATAAATGATTTGGGGTAACGAATTTGTTAATTAAACTCCTTTCTTTGAATAGTAGGGAGTGAATCATGATTTGCCTTCTGCTTATCGCTTTTGGAACGCTTCTCTCTGATTCGGGCTTCGTTATAGTAACCGAAGCACAGCAAGCCAAGATCCTACTGCGCTCAGTGAGTAACAAAAGTTCGCCGAATGCATTTGAGCTGAACCTTGATGTTTTGAAAGAGATATCACAGATGGAGCCACCGATCCGAGTTATCGCCGCCGTTGGAAATGCTCGAGTTGGAAAATCAACTTTCTTAAACCTAGTTGGCCATATTTTGGATGAAAAGAGAACATCTTCTGTAATTGAAGAAGTTTTTAAAACCGGCACTTTAATGAAGGCAGTCACTCGTGATGTATGGGCATATGTCATTCACCAAAAAGAGGGAAGCATGCTGTTGCTTGACGTGGAAGGTACCGATTTAGGAGACGACACTGTCACTGATCGCCTCAGTATGTTTACAGCCATGATGTCTTCCAGATTGAATGTTTTTGCAGTAGACTTTGTGGGAAACGCTGACACTGATTTCCTTTATCGAATGGCACGCTTGAGCTACCTTGTGTTCAAAGATAAAAACATTTTAGATCATTTCCCAAAACTGCAAATCGTGTTGCGGACTAATCTCGGTAGTGATGGTGATTATAACTTCAAAGAAATTATCAGCGGTGAAACTCATAAAGGGAAGGAAGATAAAATGGAAACGATCTATCAATTTTTTCCGAAGGATTCCATCGCAGTCACCCGGATTCCGTATGTTCACAATGCCGCTCAACTATTCAGAGATCAAAATGTGTTAGAGAACAGCTCTGCTTGGAAAGCGTTCAAAACCGCGATCGAGAAAATTAAGGAAAGTCCAGAAAAAAAAACTTTTGAAGGAAGTTCTATCGACGGTGAAGCGCTTAGCGACCTCGCCGAGCGGCTGGTTCAAATAATGAACAATGATTCATGGGAATATTTTGGAAACGTGTACGAAACCTGGGAAAGAGATATTTGTAGAAAGAGTTACAAAGAGCACATTGAGCCGGTTTTAAAGCGGAGAACCTCAATCGAAATACAAGACGAGATGATAGAGGCCTCAGACAAATTTAAACGTGTGTGTAACCTAAAAGAGGAAATAGAGAATGCGAAGGAAGACCTCAAGCGAGCAGGAAGGAATAAAAAAAAGTTTGAAGAAGAGGAAAAACAAAGGAAAGAAGAGAAGAGAAAAAGAGATGAAGAAAGTTGGTTGGAATATGGAAAGACCGCCATTCGTTATTTAGGCACATTTATCGCAGGTGCATACATTTTCAGTGATAAAGATCTGAAAGACAACTTAACAACCCTGTCCAGCTCCGAGTTCAACAATATCGGCCTGAGGGGGGTCTGCTGGGAATGGAATGAAAACGCTCAGAAGACCTTCGGACTGACTGGGGAGGACTGCGGAGTGATTGCTCAGGAAGTTAAAGTTCTGTATCCTTGGGCTGTGACAGCAGGAACGGATGGTTATCTACGAGTGCACTATGGCATTTTGTATGAAATGATCAACGTTGCCCACAGCAACAGGAACTTGTAACGTTCATTTTGAGTTTTCATTGTTGTATTAGTCAATCTAGAATCCATGATCTTGACTTTTTGACTTGTTTTCAGTTGTAGCACTTATTCAAAACCAAGAGAATTGAAACACCTAATCATGATGGATGTAGATCGGAGGCCAGGACCCCCAAAAAAGGGTTTCGTAAAGTGATCGAGTGAGAAAAAATTTGATGGTGGATTTTGATATAAAAATGCAGGCTGATTAATGTTAAGTAGTTTGGAGTTGTATTGTTGCATAGGCTCTCTGTAAAGGGACTGTATCTATACGCCACTCCTTTAATTCATGGAAACGAGGCACAGTCATTAAACCATTGATATTGCTTACACTTATCGCTTATTATAAAAATCTTCAATTATAGTTACATATTTACAACATGAATCTCAAACGTGCCCAGGTTGTGTAAATCGAGGTCACGTGACCGAGCACCGACTAAAATAGCCTTATAGTGCTGTCATGAGCACATTTATACGGCCTCTGTGGCATAAATGTGTAAAATGTGCATTTGTGTTCTGCTATTTTATATGAAAGGGTCGTACAATCTACAGTTCTGACCAAATTTTAGGTTATTTAGACCTGTATTACGCGGCACCGTATTAAACGGTCACCCTGGAATAAACGGTCGGTTATCAATTTTTTCCCTTCAACTGCTGTAACTTTTTCTTCCATCATGGATAATTATCGCATAAAATAGCGTTTTTGTCCTTTTTTTTACATACCTCTGTGGAACCTGTATTAAGCAGTCATACCGCCATTCCTCGCGGGTGACTGCTTAACACAGGTTCGACTGCACTATTTTCGTCCCATTTACGGTTGGACATGAAACAAGGCTCAGTCAGGTTAACAATGTTTACGGCCATTTCTTATGTTTCTAACATATCGTAAGCTCTTAATGACATAAGGCCAGCCATGCTCAGCCAATGCAAAATATGGCCACGTGAACAGGCACGTGACCTCTGAGGAGGCCTCGATCGCTTTTGCGTTATACGTGTACCTGTGTTATCCTTCGAAATTTTTTTTTTTAACAACATTCTAACTCAGTGAGATGTATACTAGGACTGAAAAATGCCTTATTATTATTATTGATATTTTTCTTCATTAAGTTACTTAATCACTTATCCGCTCTAAAATTCTTTTGAAATGAAGCTTTTCACGATAAGCACCGGCAGCAGCATGCCTTGTCGAGCCGAAGACGAGCTAGTGGAAAACGTCCGCCTGTCAGCGAAACTGCTCCTGTAACAACACAGGACTTGCTTGCACAAAAGGGTGGTTCTGCATGACAGACGATGAAACATTTAAGAACCCCCACGCTCTGACCTGTGTCAGTGACTCAGAAGAAAGTAATGAGGATAGAGTATTGAAGAGAAACTTTACAATAGTTGGCTTTTAAGGAGTCCATGTTTAAAATGTTCGCTTTCTGTCGAGTAACGTACGAGATAAGTTACTTTCATGCTCAACAGGTCAAAATTAGTGATGATATTGCGTCTTTTAGTCTTAATATGTATCTTAATGAGATAAAGTGAGGTGCGAGAATTCGTAAAATAACATATCTACAATGAAACTTTTGTGATGAGCGGTGGCACCCCTGGTTCCCCAACCATCCATGGCCCACTGGTGATTCAAGTTCCTTCATAGTTCGTCCCTTCGGATTCATAAGGAAAGTGAAACTGCTTAAACTGCATCTTTGACAAGGAATGTGTTTTGCAACGTTTGCAAGGCTTGAAACGCCCCGGAAAGAAAGAAAAACTATCGAAGGTAAAATGAAGCAGACTTTTCCATACTTCAGAACAGTTAATTTCTGAGTCTTTAAAAGGAGACCATAGAGATTAGGAAAATGCAGTGTCATACTTCATTGGTAAAATGCAAATTACCTTATGGCTTCCTCCTAGACCGGATGTGTATTTCATGAATTTTAAAGAGGTGTTTTTCCCTCGTTGTCTCACCGAATAAATAATTTAGGTTATCGAAATAGTGTATCAAACCCTTTCTTTGAACAGCAGTGAGTGGACCATGATTTGTTCACTGCTTATCGCCTTTGGAGCGCTTCTCTCTGACTCGGGCTTCGTTATAGTAGCCGAAGTACAACAAGCCAAGATCCTTCTGCACTCAGTGAATAACAAAAGTTCGCCGAATGCATTTGAGCTGAACCCTGATGTTTTGGAAGAGATATCACAGATGGAGCGACCGATCCGAGTTATCGCCGCTGTTGGAAATGCTCGAGTTGGAAAATCAACCTTCCTAAACGTATTCAGTTCTATTTTCAGTCTAGAGAGAAAGTCTAACGCAATTGAAGAGGTTTTTAAATCTGGTGCCTCGTTGAATCCTATCACTCGTGGAGTGTGGGCGCACATAATACGACATCCCGATAAAAATGGAAGCATACTTTTGCTTGATGTGGAAGGTACAGATCTAGGAAATGATAGTGTAACTGATCGCCTTAGTATGTTTACAGCCATGTTGTCTTCCGGACTGAATATTTTTGCACTACATGTCGTGAAAAATGGAGACATCAACTTCCTTTATCGCATAGTACGCTTGAGCGAGCTTGTCTTCGAAGGTAAAGAAATTCCAAATAATTTCCCCAAACTTCGAATCGTGTTACGAACAAATCTGAACGTCCCCGATGATGACAGCCTTGAAGATTATATCCGTCAAACAATCTTTCATCCTGACGGGCAGAGTATGGGAAAGGAGAAAATAATCAAGAAATACTTTCCAGAAGATCGTATTTCAGTGAGTCATATCCCTTCGGTGGATAATTCCTCTGAATTATTCAGAGACATAAAGCGCTTGCAAGAAAGTTCTGCTTGGAAATCGTTCGAAAAGTTGGTGCAGAAGATGAAGGACAGCCCTGTGAAATATTCATCAGGAGGCCCTCCAATTGACGGTGAAGCACTTCGTGTCCTCACCACAAAGCTTGTTGAAGCAATGAATAGTCCTAATGATTCTTGGAAAGATTTCGGAGATGTATATGCCGCCATGGAAACATATATTTGTACAAGAAAATACGAAAAGTATATCAAGCCCGTCTTACTGCAGCAGACCTCGAGAGAAATGGAAGACAATATGTTTAAAGCTTTACGTAAGTTTGAACAGGAATGCAATCTACAAAGCGAGATAACAAAGGCGGAAGAAGAACTTATGGGTACGCTGGAAGAGAAAAGAAAGCGCGAGGAAAACGAAAAAAGAAGACAGGAGGAAGAAAAAAGAAGACAGGAGGAAGAAAACAAAAGACGAGAAGAGGTGAACAGAAAACAAGAGGAAGAAAGCTGGTGGGAATATGCTAAGAGCGCTGCTAAGTATTTTGCCCCATTCCTCGCGGGTGCATACTTTTTCAGCGACGAAGATCTGAAAGACAATGTAACAACGCTTTCCTGCTCCGATTTCAACGATATCGGCTTGAGGGGGGTCTGCTGGAAATGGAATGAAAACGCTCAGAAGACCTACGGACTGACTGGGGAGGACTGCGGAGTGATAGCCCAGGAAGTTAAAGTTCTGTATCCTTGGGCTGTGGCAGAAGGAACGGATGGCTATTTACGAGTGCACTATGGCATTTTGCATGAAATGATCAACGTTGCTCATAGCAACAGGAACTCGTCTCGTTTATTTTAAGTTTTCATTGTTGTATTAGTCATTGTAGATTCAATGATTTTGACTTTTTGACTTGTTTTCAGTTGTAGCACTTAGTCAAAACCAAGAGAATTGAAACACATAATCATAGGGCACGTAGAGAACTCCATCAACTCCATCAAGCGCGGAATACTGCTTCGATGAGCGTTTTTGTTTCGCGTTTTATCGGCTGAGAACATGTAAATGCTGAATTTTTTCAAATCTGTCGCTTGGAGCCATTTAGCAAAATCTTTCACGTTATCACAAAATTATAAATGCCTGTAACCCCTGTAACTGTTTGAAAATTAAACCAAATATTTTTGTTACTTCTGAAAGGGATGGTGGACATATTACGAATGAAAATCCCCATCATTATATAAACCCTACAGTTTCATTGATTACCTGCCCAAAACAGCAGAGTGCATCAGATTCAATCTTCACTTCAGCAGTCATCTTTAGTTCCTGTAGCGGTTCTTTCACGTCCACCTCTAAACACTTCTGTTTTGCAGGAATCCACATCTTTTTGTGCCCCTGGAGAGATAAAGAAAAGATTTAAAGGATCATTTCATCTCCCCTAGACAAATTTATGAGGCCACCGTAATTAAGGTTCCCATAAGTCATGTTCCTGTCTAAGTTTGCTCGAAATTTGAAGCTTTTAATATATTAATACTGGTGGATTATCCGTAAGTTTTACAAGTTATGGAAGTTATGGAAGTTTTTATGACCATGAGAATGTTGGAATGATGGTGGGGGGGGGGGGGGGAAAGAACCGGGAGCAAGGAAAGAGGTGCCCCCCCTTATATTTCCCCTCTCAACCACAAATAGAATACTTCTTTGTCAGCGGAACTCTGGTGAAGCCTTCATGTCAGATACCAGTGGAACACGAACGTTGTTCTTGGATGGGACACTTTACTCTTCACCTTAAAGGCCATGGATTTTATTCCATTAATTGCCGCCACCCCCGGATTGACTAACCGTTTCCTACACTCTGCTGTAAATTTTTACCTCTGCGAGTTTGACGACTGTTTCTCGTAATGATAATCGCATCTGACCGCCGCCTGTACTTGATTCCCTGAGGGTGAGCTTTACAGATGGCTCTAAAATGCTACGGCCTGTCTCGGGAAGGTCCCTAGAGGAGATAGATGAACATGTAACTTCTCCTCAGCAATTTAAATACATTATCCAGCCAACAGGTGACGAGAATAGACAACGATCTTAGGTTGAGGATATTCTGTTGAGAAAACACCAAATTCTCTTGACCAGTTTACAAAGAAATATGGAAAGGTCAGAAGTGAGAATTTCTAGTCAGATCTAGGACACTTAATTGATTAAAAAAAGGTACATGATCTGAGGTCCAATTACCTGACTTCTACAACTTTTGCTCTGATTTTCTTAACATCTCCCTGGTTGCAAAAGTGAAAAAAAGGCATCCTGTTACAAATTATTCTCTTTGAATTCCACCCATCCAGGAGCACAGTAAAAAGCGCTACGTTAGACCCTGAAATGGGAAGACGGTAACAAGTATACTATTCCGTCCCACAGGTGAAGAGGAGTAAGATCTTCACCTTCACTTGTTTCAGTGCTCTCGCAGTATTTTTCAACTGAAGGTTACTGCTATTGTGTTGTTCCTCGTTAGTCTTCGTCGTAAAATCGTGAGTGGTCGTGATTTCTTCGGGACATTTGGTAAAAACTTAACTTTGTGGCTTTAGGTACTCGTGAAATTAAGTCGTGTTGTGCGGACTTTTTTTACCTTTTCGAACAGTGTTGTTTCAATTCTGATATCACCTTGAATGTCTGAGTAGTTGTGCATATCGGCTAAAGACACGGGAAACCATTTGTCCAGTCCCTTGGAACTTTGCGCCAATGTCTCTCGGTCAAATGTCACTCGACCAATAAGATCATCGACCCTAGCGATAAAAAGAAAAGCACTTTCGAAGTTACCAACTAAAACTGGGTATCTCTCGGCGGAATTGCGGTATATAACATTTGTGATGATTCAAAATTGTGTGTGGCAGCAGATGAACCTTAGTTAATCTAACTGCCAATATAAAAAAAAGAAAAATATCACATGGGGCCAATGAGAACTCAATACATTTTGACCGTTTGAAGCGCGGGAAAACGCAAGTGTCAAGACGCAGAGGGTAACTGTTTGCTTTTGATTGGTTCAGGGGCGGCAAGAGCTTTCTAGACCAATCACAAAAAAAGAAACACCAATGCAATTTTATATTTCTATCGACAGTCAAATGAAAAGTGCCGTTTGCGCGGAACGGTCTTTTGAAACATGGTTCATTACATAATGTCAGTTTTGTCGGTCGAAAAGCATTCGGACGAGAAAAGTGTAGCTATTATTACCCAATGGTGTCCTCATCATAAACAAAAACAGACAAATTCGTAAAACCAACAGGAAGAAACATAGTGTACTCTTCTCCCCAAAATGGCTCCAAATCTCTCCAAACTGTGGCAGTTCTACAAAAGAGGAAAAAGTGTCACAACTTAGGTGATAAGTTATTTCACGAGAAAAAAAATTAATGCACAAGCCAAATGTTGTTAATATCAATGTTCCTTAGGTTCCGAGGAAATGTCTAGGTGTGCTTGAAAATGTTAAAAGGGAAATTGAATTTTAACCTGGCCTAAAGGGTATCGAGAGCGTTGACAAAAATCCTTTATTGAGACAAGGTGAACAGCAAATCAAAACAAGCGAGCAAATCAAAACAAGCGATTTTCAACCCCTCTAGTTTGATTTTAATAGTGGTCTAAGAGTTCAGAAGAAAAAAAGAAACAACAGTGTGTCGTGCTTACTTTATGATCTTCGCGACAAAACTGTTTTTATTACAACATTAAGTTATTGCCTAAACAAGGCCTTAACATGTTCCTCCAGATCAGGCCGCTACTATAATCAATTTAGTTATTCAATTACCCAAGGAGACTCAAAAGTTTACCGAAATGTTTTGAATAGAGTCATTACGGTTGGTACTACCTGGCGTGAAGAATTATTCATTCTTGGCCGAAGGATTTGTCACAAGATTTGCATTTATCTCCCACGCAAAACTGAATTCATTGAACCGATTCGAGCGGGCAAAACGGACGGAAATTGATTTATATCTGTTGATGCGATCTTCAAGACCCTTTCCCTTCTCATATCCGTTTTGAACGAGGTATAATAGCCTCGTGAACGACAAAGAGCCCTTTGTTCTTTCACCAGATTGATATTTTAGAAATTAAAATTATTTTCCGCTTTGCTCGATCAAACTAAACGTTGTCTTAAATTGACCTCAACTCAAAGTTAAAATGGTTCAGTTAATTATCACCTTTAATTAACTGCTTTTTTACACCTCGCAAGAGTCAATTACACCAGATGGTCTCTGAGCAATAAACATCTAATTAGGGTATAATTTTTCTACTATGATCTTCGACTTGGAAGAATGAAAAAAAAAGTGGATCGATGACCTTTTTTCCCGTTTTTTTTTTTTATATACCAAGCTTTGTTTATATTTGAGTCAGTATGTAGATTTTGGTCAAATCACTTTTACGAATGTGATCGGGTTTATTCGATATACACTGCTTGAACAGATCATAGATGTCGCCTGCTTTCGGATCGTAAGCGAAAGAATCGTAACTAAGCGGCCGAAAATCAATTTGTAATGTAACCACGTCCGCTAGGTGCCTGATTTCGTCTGTGCATTTTTACAAGGAAGTAAGTTTTATTCAAAGATTTGTCGCGAGATTAAATCAGCTGTCATGGCGTTGTTCACTTACTGTTTACTTTGTTAAATTTTGGACTCTACACTTTCTTGTTTATTCCCGTCAGATATTTAAACATTGAAAGCGGAAAACCCCGTAAAGTATGTGGCAACTAAGCAATTTTAACTTAAAATCATACAAAGTTACTTGCGATTTTCATAGATTGTAAAACCTTTTAGCAATGATTTACTTTCATCAAAAGACTTGACACTCGTTGTTAGTACAGTATAAGTCAATTAGCAACAGAAAAAGCCCAAAGGTATTTACTTACCTCGCTACAGGCTCGTTGTCCACTTTCACGATGCAGTATGGATCACTCTTTCCAGAGCTATTTACAAAATAAAATAAAACAAAATCAAATAATTCCCGAGTGAACTAACTGAACATTGACCGGGACAAAATTCCTTTCATTCAAAAGCGTTAATAACGTGCGAAAAACAAATATATTATTTAAGAATGAAATCGTCCGCTCCAACTCACATGTCCTTCCGAGGTAAATTCTTTCCCTCGCCAATGCGAAGATACAAAATAGTGCTCTTCGCCATTTTACCGGGTTGATTTTCGTCTACAAGGCGGAACTGTTGGCAGAAACAAGTATAACAGAGGAAAACTGATGCAAGATCAACGGTGGTGTTAGCACCCTAACTTTTTGTCGGGAAACAACGGAAAAACTCCTCCCTTACGAGTAGAACTCTCAGTTTAAAAACCGATTCATTAACGGTCCATGTGACTCCCTGGGCGCCGAGTTGCGTAAAAGCTATCAAATAATATCATAATATATTGTCTGACCCGCGGACCATCAAAGGAATTTGTTTATCTCTAAGCCTATTTGCAGGTTAGCATATCATTAAATTGTTAAAAATAACAGACAGCCTGTATCTGACAATAAGCGAGCACTCTCAAAATTTTGAGCAATGAATCTCATTATCCTCTGTGCGAAAATTGTGTTGATCTATAAAACTCTCAATTAAGGTCCCATACGTTCGAATGGTAACTAAGAATATGGTTAACTTTCGTCGAAATTATCATTTTTTTTAAATTTTGGTCTCAAACGTCTTACAATATCGCTGTCTATGTTGTGTGACGTTTTGTTGTTTTTTCTCTCCATGGCTGAGCAACTGCGTCATTCATGAGATGAAATATAGGGGGCAGTCCTGAAACAAAATATAAGAGCAGCATTTACGTTTGTTATAATACTTTTCACTGTCACAAAAACGTTATCAAGTCATCTGCTCCATTCATGGTTACCCTTGGAGCATCCTTAGATAAGAAGAGAACAAAAAAATTATTAATTAAAAAAAAAAAAAAAAGAAAAAGTATTATAGTCTCCTACGACGTACGAAATTTTGGAAGACAACTTTATATGCTTTGTTGCAGACTTATTTAAGAGTTATAAAGCAGCGGACTGAAAGTGTTGTGATCATAAAATCTTAATAGTTCCTTGTCTGATTGTCTGAGGTCTCCCACGGTTTAGCGATAGAGTTAATCGCAACTGAAACTCGGGGATATTACTTCAAATGAGAATATTTTTTCTGGGATATCCATTACTAATGTCTTATAAGAACCAATTTGTTAAGTTTTGTGTAGCGGCACCTACCTGATTTTATATGGGATTCGTTTGCGATATCCAAGGTAATTGAATCGAAGCGAAAATATCTCTTATTAATTTCCTATTTCCTTCTTCCTGTTGCTGTAAGTTGTTGTAGCTTTTTTTAGCCCAACTCAGATATTATATTTCACACCCATTTGGAGCCCTCCTGATGACGTAACATAGTTACGGGGTCACTAGGTTTAATTTTTAAATGTTTTTGGATATTCAAGTAACAGATACAAAAATAAAACATTACTATGCATCAAATTTTATTAAGAATTTTTCTAAAAGTCAAGAGAGTTAATTTAAAGCGCACTTTAAAACCATTGAATGTTAAAATCCTTGTGCCGTTTTGAGCCACTAATTTGCTCAAAGTTTTAGCTTCTTTTTATTGGAGGTGTTGATGATCGGTCATTTCCATTAAAAGTTTCCTTTAAAAACTGGAATTGTCGTATCGGGACATTTCATTGCACCTCAATCCCACTCTTAAATGATGAGCGTAGACTGGAAACGAGTAACTATATCCAAAATGGCTCCCAAGTGAAGTTGTGTTGGGCTGAGGTGGTTGGTGTTTTTTTCCTTTGAGCTCGAGCCAATATTGGACCATCAAACGGGAAAAAGTACATTAATAAATATATAACCAGCTCTTCACTGTTTTTAAAGACATGTCGAGATCGCAGTCCTCACCGGATATTTACAAGGTGTCTGTAACTCGGACGAGCTCCAAGAGCTTGGACGAAGAACTTCTCGAACTGTGTAATTTGAGCGGAGTCACTTTAGATCCTGATGTCTTCAAGATATTGCTGGATTTGATAAAGCTTAATGTTCCACCGCCTTCGTTAGTCACAGTTCTTAAGCAAGTCGCTTCTACTAAGGGCTATCGAAACGAAGGTCATCCCGCTTTGTCAGCAAAGTCGAGTACCGGTTCCACTAGTTCGGCAGGAAGCGCTTCAAGTTATGAGTCTTTACAATCTTCACAAAGTACCATTGCTTCTGGAAGTAGTTTGGGATCGACTCAAAGCCCGAGACTTGAGAGAATTCCAATTTCTAGCCGTCTGAGGGAAATGAAAGCCAACGCTATGCCGCAATAGTCTGACTTTATCTTCGTATAGAGACAAACCAATGCCTGGCGTACTTTTCATTGCAGACACTAAACAAAGATTTTGTAATCCTTGCTTATTTTTTTTTTCAGATTTTAAAACTTTTTAAATGTAAAATTAATTGTAAATGTGTCACTGCATGCAAGGTTTGGTTTAATTATCCTGAATGTATGTTAATCTCACAAAGAGTGACTACAGTCAGACCCTGATGACTTCAAGATATCTTTGTTCCACTGCCTTCGATAGTAGCAGTCCTCAAGCAAGTGGGTACAAACATGCTTACTGTCAGTGTAGTCACTCACAGAAAATTGTATGACTTCAAAGAAAAAGCAACAATTCTTTTACAATCTCTGTTATATTAGCTTGCATTGGTCCTATGCAATGACTGACATATAAACTAGATTTTACTTGGAATCATTGTTTCCTGCAATATGCTCAATCAACTTTGCTTCATCTTGAACCCCTAACATTGACTAACAGCTAAGAATTCCCTGTAACATTACCCCTGAATCAAACAGACACTAGGGTCAGAAGAATTAAGGAAATGACCACCAGCTGAAGGAGCCCTTGACTGTTAACCAAATCTACCTTGTGGGTACTATAAGAAATGTATAGAGAACAGTCTGGAGAATAACGACGTTAGGCTTTAGTAAAGTGAACCCATTCACTGTAGTAGCTCCTCACTCCGAGAGGGAATTAAGCTATAATTTCTCTTTGCATTACTGAGGGGAATGGGGGTGGGGGTGGGGGGCTGTAATGAAAATAGATCAATTTTTCAGCTGGAGGTTGTAACTTCAGCTTGGCATGATTTTGCAGAAGATGGGATTCTAATTGAATTTTTTGAATGCAAATATAATAGCAAATATGAATATATGTGAATGGGTTACACCTAACATACCCTCTAAAGCCATTTTAAGTTCTCCAAAATACCTAAAAAACGGGTTAGAGTGAAATGTGAGATATGTGTATATATTTCTAGTAATCAATGTTCATTGTATGTATTTGATTTCCAAATTGTATACAACAATTTGCTCAAAAGAGAAACCATTCAGGCTTTTTTATATAACACCTGTTTAATTGTAATTTGAAGCTGTTTCAAAGTGTAAATAAGTATATAACAGTCCAAGAAAATATTTTCCTATCATATGACAACTAATCAACTGAAATTCACAATCTGTTGCTCTCAACAAACATTGTCTGAAGTAAGCTTACAAATTATTGATAATATAAATAAATATAGTCTTTATTTATGGGTCCATATCATCATCATCTTCAAAACTGAAAGTGCTACATTCACCAACAATCTCAACATGATGAACCCTGTGAGGAATAATCAGAAATATTACATATTAAATAACAGAGCTTACATTCAATACTTACCTCTCAGTAAATATGGGTAATACAAGCAATGGCAAAACTGATAAAATTCTTTAATTCAAGTATCTCTGGTTTTCAAACTCTCAAATTTTGTAATCAGGTAGTAGTTAATTTGTTCTATTTTAAAATCATGAAGCAACTGCACAAAAAGTCAGGAAGAGAGAGGTGGGTAGCATACTCGCACTGCCTCTGTAAACTCACCCTTTGTCTTGAAGCTGGTTTGTCTCAGGAAGACTTTCCATGATCAGACTGCTGCATGTGCTGCTACTATTACTATTTGGCAGGTCTACATTGTTTTCCTAACATGAAGAATATGAGAACACACATGCTTAGGAAACATACTTATTTGCAACAACTGATAACAGGTATTTCATAAACAATTATGTAACTCATCCACCCCAGTCCACCACACCTTTCTGCATTCACATTTGATATGACAGCTTTTGTCACACCACACGAGAAACAATCAAAAAACAAGTTTTTCACTGTTGAACTACAAATTTCAACTGTGCTTAATTTTTACTCAAGGAAGTGATTTACATGAAACTTCTCACAGTATTATCCAGCAAACTGATTGAGAAAGCTTAGTAACAGTGAACTGAGTAACTTAAATATATGATAAGTTCTCTAAACTAATTTACAACAAAATGTATAGCAGCTGAGAAGGGGGAAGTATGCATCAGATCTCTGATTACCTGGCAAACCTCCTTGCTATCTGTTGATAAAGAAAACCCATCATCAGGACTCTTCCAAGGAACAACTGCCAAACAAGGCTTACTTCTGCAAAATAAATAAAAAAGAAATAAACTTTTGATTTCATGATGTCAGACATACACTAAGCCTAGTATAAACATGTGAAGTAACTTAAAAGGTATTAACAAGCGATTGTTATAGTTTTTCCTTAAAAAATATGCCCAAAAACAAATTAGTTGCATTGAAACTGAAATAGAGATATTGAACTTACATCTGATTGTAGATAGCTTCTGGAATGATTGACTCTTGTTTGGTGATAGCTTCCTTCACATGTGTTGACAAAACAAACCTTGGCAAATTGTCTTGCCGGCTGAAAAATAAAACAAACCACTAAGTAATAATATTGTAAAGTTCTGCAAAATATCCACAACTTTCAAAGAGTAGCAATGGTATTTATTTAAGGGCTTGGTATTAGAGGCCATGTACCACAGATGTTAAATGTGATGGGTGTCCTTAGACAAATAATCTTTCTGCAGAAAAATGATAAAGGAAAAACTTGGACATGTCACGCAGTCAAGGTAATTGCTTACTTTGCCAAAGGTCTTTAACCCTCTACACCCTAACATCAGTATGCATATTCTCCACACTGTTCTCTATACATTTCCTAAGAAGCTGATAGGGAGAATTTGTTTAACAATCAAGAACTTCTCTAGTTAGTAATCATTTCATTTTTTTCTCATGACCCTAGTGTTTGATTACGGGTTCAATTTAGATACTAGTCTCCCTTAGGGTAACAAAGGATTAAAATAGAGAGATAAAAATAACTTTAACTCACTTTTGCATTGCATCTGTATTTTTCACTTTATCATCATCACTGTTATTATCATTGCCTTCACATATTTGACTGTCAGAGGTGCCAACTGCCTGATTTGCCATTAAACTTTGCAAGATATTTACAGGATTATTATGATCGTTACTTATCCTTAAATTGTGCATTCTTGCTGCCATTCTTTCTGACAGATACCGTTTACTTGATGGTCCCTCTTGTCTTCAATAAAAGAGATAAGTAGAACTTAATTGAGTTTACTATACCTACTTAAACAGAATTAAAGAAAATTAAAAAAAACCACTGCTTACCCATCATCACCTTCTGATAAACTACTTTTCCGTTTTGCTTTGTATGCATGAAAGCTTTCATTTCTCCTGCCACAGTAAAGAAAACTGTAAGGATTAAATTGTGCCAATTGTACCATATGCCCTAACATCAGTATGCATATTCCCCATACTGTTCCCTAAACATTTCCTAAGGTTCTGAAAAGGAGAATTGATTGAACAATCTAGAACTTCTTTAGTTTGTGATCATTTCTTCCATTCTCATAACCTTTAATTCAGGTTTGATGGTGATATTGTAAGGATAAATTATGTCCTTGTCACTCTTACAGGTAAAAGGGTTAAAGTGGTATTTACTTTTATTTCTTAGAGGTCATTTATACTAACTTTTTGACATTCTAAGTGTGACAACAACAACATATTATACACTTACCCCCTACCATTAAGTCCTCGGGACATCTCTACATTATTATTGCGAGAATGATGACCCTGCAGTAACATTGATGTTATTGCAGGGTTACCAGAACTTGACCCTGGTGTAGGATTCGAGTATAATGAAGGAAAAGCTTGGCCTTGAAAGCTTGTACTTATGTTTTGATTGTTTGAAGTCTGTGATTCTTGTAATGGAGTGTGCATTTGTATATGCGATGTGTTCTGTGAAGGTCGCAATGAGAAGTATCTTTCAAACGGCGGTGAATTTGAGTTGCTTGATTGCTGGAAGTTTGATTGTGTCGTATCGCCTCTAGGTAACCGATTAGCTAATTCTGAATTTCTGGAAATTCCAACGCCATGAACTCTTTGTTGTGGTGGAGGAAAATGCGGACCTCGTAGAGAAAATCTCAGGCCATTGTTGGCCGTTGCATTCTGAGGTCTTAATGAAGGGTTTCTTATAGTCTCCCTTCGCTGATTCGTCGGGCCAAAGGAATCTTCGTTGTCCCAAGATATCGATCCGTAGGGTATATTGTTGTTATTATCCATGTCTGATGATTGTCAAGAGGAGGATGAAAGCCAGTCGTTTTAAAACCCCTTGTTCATAAAAATGCTGGCCTAATTAATATCCAGGGAAAGAGATGTTTTCCTCGAAACTTGCTTGACTCATCACCGAAGCTAAATCTTCTTATTAAATTGGAAAGGTAAATCCTCCATTGTGCTTCATATCCAGGTCGTGTAAGAAATTTCAAATAGTCGCACGCAAAATAAATCGATTTTGTTAGGGAGGGGAGGGTGAAAGGAGCACTTTTGATCTCCACTAAACGTAAATTATCTCTCATAGAGGATGAAAAAATATAATTTCAACTTGTTTATTAAATAGAAAAAACGATTTGATTTACGCACTATAATTCATACTCGGATTTTTACTTCAGAAATTCCACTTGTCTTAATTCTCCCCATAGGGATCCCCTACACGAAGAAGTCAAAAGATTCCCTCTGTGTAACTGCGGGCTCGTGAGACATCCAACATGGCCGCAAAGATGGCGGCCTTATTTCGTTGTTATAGAGTTTCTTTGGCTTGTCGGCCTGTAGTTACGGACACAATTAATTTTTTAATGCGGAGACAATGTGCATCATTCTCATGCAGATGTGATTTAAGTTGCTTAGCGACAGAAAATGCCATTTCACCCATATCGAAAAATACATTTGGATACCAACAGACCTCACTTGTGGGATTGCAGGAGAAGAGATTTTTTACATCTTCCTCCGTCACCCCTAATGATAACCCACAAATAAGTAAGTCATAAACGTGGCTGTTTTTAATATTATAAAATGCAAATAACTTTTAAGAGAAGGTAAGTTACCATTTCCTCCCAAAAGCCATGCTTAATCGCTTCTCATTCCACACGACCCTAGTGGGTGTTGGGGAGGCGTGTTCAAGTGGGTTAGGGTCTAGTGCAGTGGACAACATTTGGGTTCATAAAAAATTAATTTAATGATGCTTTTATTTAGCCTTAATACTGCTTTCACTTGCTTGCTTCTAAGTAAAACAATCACCTAAAATAAGCACCCAAACCCCAGTTTGCAGAGGGTGGGGGGAGTGCAGGTACAATCTTTTCCCAAAGCACTCTGTAGGAATGTGAGAGACGTGTTTGCCCAATGATTAGTGTGCTGGACTCTGGGTTGAGAGGTCTCAAGACCTGGCTGGGTAATTGTGTTGTGTTCTTGGGCAAAACACTTCACTCTCATACTGTCTCTCCCCACCCAGGAGTATAAATGGATATTGGTGGAGTGTAAGGGAGGCCTGATGAAGTGCTGGAGGGTAGCCTTGTGGTGGGCCAGCATCCCATGCAGTGGAGAGAAATAGTCTTGGTCCCTTTAAGTGTTAAAACCAGGAATAAACTGAGTGAAGACTTGAGTGAAACTCCCTTGCATGCGTGAGAATGATTGTCCTATTTTTTTCATATCTGCAGTCTTGGCCAACCTGATTTTCACTTGTATTTCCTACAACTGGCATCAGTTGTTTAGAGTACCTGATTATTAGAAGGCTTTTAAATTTATTCTTGTCTGCATCCCTGTATGTGTATGAAAAAAATTAACCTATCAGATGAGCCCTATGAGCCTCTAGAAAAACCCCTAACCCCCCAACTCCCATGAGTGACCAAGACAGAATTTCTCCTTACAATATCAATACAAAATCAATGATATCAGTGATGATGATAAAGAAAAATGTCAATTAGGGGATTACTAGTTGATTCATTACCAAATTCTCCAAACTAATATCATAAGAATTGTTTGACAGTAAGGAGAATTACTTTAATAAAAAAATGTAAAAACTTTCAGGAGCTTGTGATGACTATTTTTAATTAATTTTGTATTTAGAAGGTTTTAGGTTACCTAATTACTTCTTTGGTCTCTTGCAGCATTTGAAAGCCTTTCGGATCTGATAAAAGACAAACTACAAGAATCCCTTAATCATGATTCCTTGGCAACACACTTGAAAGTTCTTGAAGCTTTGATCAAGCATTGGAAAGGGGAAGTGCTATCTGTGTCTGTCACAAGAACAGCAGCAGAATGTAAGTCTTCATCATTGTTAGATTGTAAGACCTTGTTTATTGAAAAAAAATCATATTATAATATTATATTCAATATGAACCATGACTTTCTATCATGATAGTATTATATGATAAATTATGCACAAATCTTGATTGGTTCTTGCTGATAAGATATTGACAGGCAGATGCATAGATGACTTCACTTTTAACAACATTTTGCTTTTTTATCATGTAAAACAAAGAGTTTCCATGTTGCTGTGAGTCTGTACAGTAATAGATCACAGAAGATGTGAAAATGTGGGAAAGACATCAGTGACGTATTTGGCTGTGCCTTGTGTGAAGTTTTTGTTCTTACTACATTTTGACATCTTCTGTTATTTATTACTGAACACTGCTTGGCAACATGGAATCTATTTGTTAATAAACCCTTAAACTCCCAGATCAAATTTGTAATTCTCCTTACTGTCAACCATACAATTCTTATAATGTTAATCCAGAGAATTTTATTAGTATTGGATCAACTAGAATTATCTCCAAATTGATATTTTTCTTAGTTCTCATCACTTTGCTGGTTGATATGGTACTGATATTGTAAGGAGAAATTCTGTCCTGGTCACTCCAGAGAGTTGAAGGGTTAAGCTATGATCATAATAACAAATAACAGCAAGTGGTTTATGTACCATGAACTAGCAATCCATGGATGCTATTTTCTGCAAGTAGCTGCAAGGAAGGGTTGAAAATGTTCTTGAATCAACTAGATTTGACTCAAATTGGATGATTCATACCCTTAAAAGTCGACACATCATACCAGAAGTCAATTTGCAAGACACTTATATTATATTCCACAACTTGCTACGAGGGAGGGTAGAAAATGTTGAAATGTTGAAAATGGAATTGTGTGTGGACTTTGAATAAATTTTATGATATTGAGTTACCTTGAAATTTTTATTATTTCAGTATCTTCAGAGGATGTTTATAGACTGGCATCACTTATCTTTGAAACCCAAGAATCAGGTGTGATAGAGAAATTTGTGAACTTTAAATATTTGTTATCACAATCGCATTGTACCATAGGAAACTCTAGAAAATCCAATGTACTTCATCAGTGTAAGGAGTTGGAGGTCTTAGTGCCACTATCTACCTATTCCCCAGAGGCTTAAAGCAATGTTAGCAAGTTGTACTAACAAGCCATACAAATACTAAATGTCTGATATTACCCTGTTTATAGTTGGAAAGGATGCAGTTGAATTGGCTGCTCCACTGTTCAGATTTTCTGCAATGGCTGGAAATCCAGATGGAATGTATAGCTATGCAAAACTCCTGGAAACAGGTTGATTACTCTTATCTGAATAATAATATTTGTATTCACTATGCTTGTGACATAATTAAGTATGATGTTAAGAGAGGTCTTCCTAGCTTAGAGTGGTTGTCCCTTTTTTCTTTCTTTGATTTTATATCATTCATTTTCTCTTTCTTTTTATTTCATTCTATCCCATCTTGTCCCATCTTATCTCATCTGACCTCATCTCATTTCCTTTCACCGTATCTCTTCTCATTTCAGTTTGTTTTATTTGTGCTTTATATTTCTTTTATCTGCATTTTCTCAGGAGAGGGTGGAGTAGAAAGAGACCCCATTGAGGCTGGAAAGCTTTTCTCAGAGCTTGCAGACCAAGGTCATCCATTTGCTCAGGTTAAAGGCTTTATATAGATTATGGCATAATTTAATCCAGTTTAAGTTTAAAACATTAATGGAGTGTATGAGGAATTAGGGAGGTTTCTAGAGTACATTAGCAAGTGCTCATGCTTTTTCAGCTTTGCTGCTTTCCTTGCTTTTTTTCCTTCCCTTTCTCACACATTTGGAGATGTATTCATCCCACACACATTTTTTTTAAGTCATGATCACAGGTGCCCAGTTCTGACAAAACATGAAATTACTTTTCTTTTCTTTTCAGTTTACTTTAGCACATTTTTATCACAATGGAATTGGAATGAAAAAAGATTTACAGATGGCCCTTGAGCTTTATGAGGTACCATTCTACTGTGCTTGTTCTACCATTTCAATGTTGCATTGATATAATGTCATTGTGTAAAGTGATAGTTTGTGCTCATCATTTTAAATATTCTGGTCAGATCTCAAATTTAGAAATTGAAAAAGTTTTACAAAGAAAAATTTGAAATGGAAACATTTTCGATTTTAAATTAATAAGTATTTTTAACCCTCAGATCTTCAGTTAACAGGTTGTTCCTTTTAATGGCACCCTTGTTTTGTCTAAAATTAACATGATGTGGCCTGTTTTTAGGATATATATATAAGACAGTATTGAAATTCTCTGTATAGGAATATGTTGGTTTTTTTTTTTAATTTTGTTTTTATTGAGAACAAGTTAAGTTGACACATGTGATGTGTTAATCCTCTTCTTAATTTCAGGCCAGTGCAAAGAAGGGTGTGAGAGAAGCTAACACTATGATAGGTATGTACATAAATGACCACTGTTACATGTTAGAGCAAAACTTAAATTATTTGCTGAACTCGATAGGGCTCTGGGCTTATTGTGTATCAAGCTGGATTTTGCATTTAACCCTTCATCTTCCAGAAGTGATTAGCAAGTATTTTCTCCCTATGGTGTCTATACATTATCCAGCAAACAGATAATGAGAATACTCAAAATTATCAAGTAGGAGTTGTTATATTGATCTAATGTCAAATTCTCTGACTTTTTTGCAAGGAAATGTGTAGTAGCTAGAGAGGAGAATTAGCAATCAGATCTTGGAAGTTAAAGGGTTAAGTCCTTTGTACTCATGATTATAGGCCAGATTTCAGTGTTGTTCCCTGGGTCTTTTCCTTTCCTCCTTTTCAGCTACTGATCTTTTCTCCTCTTTCCCTCCTTCACCCCATCAGTGTGCACCCCAGGCAGCAATATACTGCTAGTTACTGGGGGTGTATCGCTGTCTGTAAGACTTATCACCACCCACTGATTAGCCTGTTAGCAGGCTCTCCTGTTCAGGTTTTGCTGCCACCTATTAAACCATCAGCAGCCGCTTATGTTAAAGGTTATTGAAACCCCCAACCCCAAGAACCTGGGAAATAAGCTCATGAGGTCTCTGATTTTGATGACATAAGTAGTTCATTCTAATTCTACACAAGAATAAAATTTATTAAATTTAATAAAAAACATGATGTACATTTGATATATGTTTATTAAATTTATTAAAAAACATGATGTACATTTAATGTACATCATGTTTTTTTTTTTTTTTTAAGGAAACATGTATACTACTGGAGAGATAGGAAAGGTAGATCTAACAAAGGCAGCCAAGTATTTTACAAAAGCTGCTGAAAAAGGTTTGTTTTTATATGAATTATGAATTACATGTTAAACTTTTTGCAGAGAGATGAAAAACTGACTAATGAATTTTCTTATTGGACAATTTATGATATAAAAGGATGGTGTATCATATGAAAGGCACACGACTGGTGTGCACACATGTCATGTGGAATCATTGAATTAGTGGTATAGTAATAGCCCTGAATCAAGTATTAAGGTCACTAGAACAATGGGAACAATCACCAACCAGAGAGACTCTTGATTGTTAAACAAACTCCCCTTGAGCTTTCAGCATCTTAGGGAATGTATAGAGAATAGTGTGGAGATTATGCATACAGATATTAGGGTGTAAAGGGTTAAGGATTTATTTGTTTGTCATTCAAGGAGGAGTATTGAATAAGGCCAAAATAGGGGAAGATGCAAGTTAGCCTTGCAAGGCAGGAAAGACCTTGTGAAACCCTTTCCGGTAATTTTATTACTTAGAAATGTGTAAGTCTGTTTGAGAAAGAGAGAGAGAGTGTGGCCTGGGAGAGAGTGTGGGCTGGATTGTATCTTCAGTGTTTTGGTATTGGAGTTATCATGAGGTGAAAAGCTTCCCTGATTTTGAAACTATAAAGTGGTCCACTTTCATTAAGGTGATGTGCCAGCTCTCATGTCACTTGGTGCATTTTACAGTCAAGGCACTGGTGTAGAAAAGAATTTTCAAAAGTCATTCAAGTGCTACAAAGCAGCAGCTGACCAAGGTACATATGTCATAAACTTAAATGCTGCAATATGCTAAGGGCAAAAACATACTTAGTGTAGCATAACCGTGTTATTTTTGGTTTGTGTGTTAACTTGTAGTCTGTCTGTTTGTCAGTCTGTCAATCAGTTATTTACAATTATGATAGTCAATCAGTCTGTCAGTGCAACAGTAAGTCAGTCAGTAGATCAGGGAGTCAGTCAGTCAGTCAGTCAGTCAGTCAGTCAGTCAGTCAGTCAGTCAGTCAGTCAGTCAGTCAGTCAGTCAGTCAGTCAGTCAGTCAGTCAGTCAGTCAGTCAGTCAGTCAGTCAGTCAGTCAGTCAGTCAGTCAGTCAGTCAGTCAGTCAGTCAGTCAGTCAGTCAGTCAGTCAGTCAGTTAGTCAGTCAGTCAGTCAGTCAGTCAGTCAGTCAGTCAGTCAGTCAGTCAGTTATTTACAATTATGATAGTCAATCAGTCTGTCAGTGCAACAGTAAGTCAGTCTGTAGATCAGGGAGTCAGTCAGTCAGTCAGTTAGTCAGTCAGTCAGTCAGTCAGTCAGTCAGTTATTTACAATTATGATAGTCAATCAGTCTGTCAGTGCAACAGTAAGTCAGTCTGTAGATCAGGGAGTCAGTCAGTCAGTCAGTTAGTCAGTCAGTCAGTTAGTCAGTCAGTCAGTCAGTTAGTCAGTCAGTCAGTCAGTCAGTCAGTCAGTCAGTCAGTCAGTCAGTCATCATCTATCAACCAGTTTGTGAGTCAGTTGACTAGCAGTTCAGAAGTCTGTATGATTATTTAACAATTCCACCATCCCTCCATCCATCTATCAGCTGGTCTGTCAATTAACGATTGATTAATTAAGGTATTTACCAAGTTTTTTCACCTCTTGAATGGGGCTTCTATGTACTCTTCTTTGTCTGATGAGGCTTTATTCTCCACCAGAAGAAGAAGGAACAATGATAGTAACTATAATAATGCTGATGATGTCTGCTCACCAGGCCACCTAACAGCCCAGTACAATGTTGGAGTCAACTATTTTGCTGGAAAAGGAGTTGAGAATGACATGAAGAAAGCAGCTTATTACTTTAACCTTGCTGCTCAACAAGGACACGTGTTTGCTCAGGTATATTGATACACCAATAATCACCCAGTTTAAAGATCACCAAAAGAGTTGTATCAGATAAACTTTTCTCTTGATTTGGGAGAAGTACTGAGTGAAGGGTCTGACATAAGGAAGTTAAAATTAAAGAAGTTAAAAACTTTATTGTTAAGTAGCAACTTGCTGTTGAGATCATAATTCAATTCTTCCTTAAAATATCCATGGATTTCTAGATGGATAGGGCACCGATTTATTCCCTCCTTGTTTTCTGTTGTAGATCAATCTTGGAAACATGTATTACTTTGGATATGGTGTAGAGAAAAACTGGGAGAAATCAAGACAGCTTTACAAGGAGGCGGCAAAAAGCAACCAACATGCTGAGCTTTTGCTTCAAGAACTTGAGCATGAAATGGAGAACCTGGACAAAAATGATGACCCTTATTAGTCACGGTAAAAATTAGTAAAAGTTCTAGGTGACATCACTGAATTGTGAAGCAGGGTTTGCAGATCGTTTGTCACCTTGGTTTAAGTGATCTAAGGAATAGATTGTGGGTGGAAAACAAGAGGTTATTCAGGTGTTAACTTTGCAATGGATCGGAACTGGGAATCAAACAGCTCAAGTGCCTCTGTGAACCTAATTGAAGTCCAGGATTAAATGAACAGGTACATTATCCGGTTAAATGACGCCAAGGGATATCAGCTGTGTCTCAAGGAGCAGACATGTTGCCAGGCAACAATGTAAATTAAATTTAAAATGGCAATATCATTAATTTGTGTAAAAAACGTTTCTTCTTGCTTGGACTGTGTAAACTCTCATGTGAGATGAGCATAGGTTATATACTTGAGGAAGAAAAAGCCATGCATATGTGGAACTGTAGGGCTTTCTGATATTTTGCCAACCTTGACTTGGTATTTGAGAAGTGCTTCAAGTATGTAATTATAATATGTGAACATCAGAGTGGAAAGAAAGGAAAGCTGAGAACATAGAGGAGAAAGTGATGGGAATGTTGGTTCTTACCATAATGTAATTCCTAATGACAAAAAAGTTTACTTATTTGCTTAATTTTCATGATCAGACAATTTAAGAGAGGTGCAAGTTCTACGTCACTGGTTCAAAGTATTTGAATTCTGTCCAGATGATAAAAATGTCTAAAAATTCAATTTTATACAATTTCTCGTAAGCAAAAAATTATACAATTCAACCTTGGAAGTGTGATGTTCCGACATTTTCCTCTTTTTGATTACAAAAGGCAGCAGCAAAATTGTGAGTATGAACACCTAGTTCATTCAGCTACCTCAGATGGGTCACGCCCTTTATTGCCCTTCTAATTTTCCGTCCCTTTGAGTTAGGAGTAAAAAATTCGTACTCTTTGGCTTAATACTAAGTCAGTCTTATTATATATTTGGAAAATCATCATTTCACTTGACCCAGACGAAAACAGTTGACTGTCAAAGGTTTTCGTCTTCATCTGAAAGAGAAGCCACGTTACAGGAAATCTACTTGTGCGCGGTATGTACTCCTAACTTGTTTTATTATTTCGCCTCTAAAGAAGGCCTTCACATGTTTTTGAAAAAATTGAAACCGATTTTCAATACAACAGTATTGCAAGCATAACATACCCTGACGTGATGCTTAAGATAAAGTGCGTTGTAGAAGTTGTTCATGAGGAGTGAACCGAAAAAGCTTTACAATTGAAGAGTACAAGTCATTATAATTTTGATACTCTTTTTATGTGAAATATTAAATAATCTCTCTCTCTCACAGAGTCTCTTTCTTTAGAGTGAAAGTCGACAGTAATTACAATTTAAGTATGCGCTTCGCTTTGTGTACGATGCCCCGTGTTTCATAACCATCACGTCTCATTGATTGGTCTCATTTATTTCGTCTTTGCTTCAATTTCTTCTGGTGTATTTTTGTTTCTTTTTTTCTGTTTGTCGGGTTTCAAATGAAAGCCCCACCCTCCCCTCTCCCCCCTTCCCCTGTATGTCTCACCTATTGAATCGACCCTGTGCATAATTAGCTATTTTATCTGCATTGCAAATGGTTTTCTCGTTAAGCTCATTTAGTATGCAGTTGCACCATTACGTTTGCGAAGAGTTAAAAAATATGGCGTTGTTCGTTGAAAATACGCCGACCGCTTGGTTGTTGCTGAACATGAAGCAGACAGAGAACCGTTCCCATGCAGCTTTGAGTCTCTTCGTTCGGAAGAAAAGTCGTCAACACGTGAATTTGGGAAAGACTGCAAACGCTTTAACGACTTAAAGTGAGGACGAAAGTGGCATGGCTTCTTCGTTTTGGTATGTCGTCGAATTGTGTTTTATATTGTATAGAACATAATAAGAATTGTTACGACTATATGGTGGAATATGCCAAATTTTGTTAAGTAAGCAGATATTTCTCCTTTCCATAGAGAGTTCGTGAATGACCTCATGGGTTAGATTTATACTCCTGTTTTCTTACTTTACCCAAGGAATATGTTCTTACAGTGATGAGGAGTTCACTCCGTTGGGATTATCTCTGATATAAACTACATAAGTGCCGACTTTTTTTCAAGGTTGATTATTGAGATAAATATTCCGACTTTAAAATAACTCGGCTAAAATAAATTTTTGCTTCGGGTTTCCTAAACCAAGACATTGTCAGCTTTAATTTCCTTCAATAGTTTCCTACTGTACCCACACGTACAAGTTACGTCGAGTATAAAAGACTTCCAGCAAACACATCCAGCAAACACAGATGTTCTGAATGGTTTGATTGCTCCAGCGTATTCATTTTCAAAAGTGTTGGGCGTGTAAATATCAAAATTTGTAAACTTTGGTAAATGCATTGTTTATTCGTTGAAATTTCAGGGGCTAATCAAGGTCTCCATAGTACCATTACGATAAAAACTAGTTGTGACATTATTTCTCGCCTTGCAACGTAAATCTAACAAGCTTTTCTATATCCTTTATTGCCAGGATTCTATACATATAGTACCTTCGATTGTTACTTCAAGTTAAAAAGTGGTTGGATTGAAATCGAACTGGCAGATGAACTGAAATCAAATTGGAAAATGGACATGTGACTGGAATGGAGTTTAAGTGGATATGGACAAGTATATGGAATGAAATCAAGCGTTCATGTTTCAAAGGTAGAATCGTAAACTAGATCAGCTTAAACATAAAAAATTAAGCCGCGAGGGTGCATTTTAAACGCAATTATTCCGCTCAGTTACAACCAATTTTGAAAGATTTCAGAGCGATTTGGACGATTTGTTTAAAAAATTTGCAGCTGAAAATTTGCAACGATATCAATCACCGAATTTTGGGAACCAATCTGACGATCAATAATATAAATTTTCTGTCAAATTTTAGTTTCAAGATGGTAAATTAGACTTGCCTCTTATTTTTCTTAAGTATCGAGGCAAAGAGATTTTGCAGACGAAGTTTGACCATGCAGACTCGATTTTTAGACACAAGCTCACGAATAGCTGTGTGAACTGTGTGCCTTTTGCTTGATCAATGTAGGAAAGTATTCAGAGAAAATCAAGAAATTTGTTCATTGAAAATCGTTATGATAAACGTTAAACACAAGATCAGTAAGAATGAGATGATTTCTACGAATGTTCACAGTTTTTAAGAAAAAAGTTAAGGCGAGGATTACAATTATCTGCTACACCACATCATTTCAGTGGGCCAATTGAAGGAAATTGTACAATCAAAATTGTTGGGAATTAGTATGGAACAACAGATTATATAAAGTAAACCTTAATTTGTTAAAAATTTTTTTCATTTATTTGTTCAAAAACGAGCAGTGCTAGCGTTTATTTTGCACCTTCGCTTATTTTTTTTGAAAAGCAAAATTTACAGTTTATTGATCTCGAGGTAAACATGCATTTTGTTGCGTCGCTAAGTCAAATTTTCATCTACTTCAGTAGTGGACAGAATTACTTTTTCAGCGATTTTCGTAATAATTACTCTACTAGATAGATCGCAAACTTGTAAATTTTTGTCAAAATTTAAAATGTTCCCGCCTAAATACTAAGAAGCTCTGTAAGTAACAGCTGTTTAAAACGAGACAATTTTCCCGCCAAAAAACTTAGAAAAATACGGGCGCCCAAAATACGCATGCGCCGTTTTTTTTTTTTTTTATTGTTTCATTATTGTTATTAGTAAAAGTCAACAAACTCTTTGTATTGTTCACTGCTTTATTTACGTTGTAAAATATTTCACTCAATAAATGTTACAAGTATTCTCTTCCATTAGTTGAGTGATTTGCCATTAAATAATCGAAAAGGTGACAAAAAAAATTCGTTCAAATATATACTAAGACTTTTGGCGGGAAAATTTGGATCAATTTGCACAGAGTTTCCCCTGACAAGATTTTCAGCAAAAAATTCGAAATGGCTTCCCTTAAAGTTTTCCGCCAAAAAAAAAAATGTGAACATCACCTTGTGCAAAAATTTTAATGACAAAATCTATGAACAGTCCTTCGTTCAAATTTCTTTTCGAATTCTACTCTTCAAAGAGACAAATTTTTCAAGCAAAGATGCTTTTGTGGTCTCTTAAGCTTTTTATGCACAAGGTGATGTAAAAATATCTACTTTAGCAACATGGCAAGCTAAATTTAATCTGCTTGTTCCTTGCCAATTAGTTTGTGTAGTAGTTCCTATTTCCATTTTTCTAAATTTTTTAAAGCTTGTCATGTTGCTACTAACAAGACCTCTTTCAGCCGTCCATTTTTTTTCTTGCACAGGACAATTTTGAAACAAATAAACATTTGTAAACAGGTCGACTTATAGCAGAACCAAAATAATCTTCAACTGCTATTTTTTCTCTTTTTTCAAGTTCGCCGTGATTTTATTTTAGTCACAATGCATCAGAATGTCATAATATTTGCATGATTCCTGCTATGTTATTGCGACGAGATTTTTTTTTTTGATTTTTGTTTTATTTTATATAGATTTCATTTTCCAAACTATCCTTAAGTCCTGTGCAACAATCTTTGGCGGAAAAAGGTCTTTGTACATTAAACATAATACAACATAACCAAATGGCTGGTTCAAAGAGTACATTTAAAGTAAACTTTTTTTGGACTATAAAATGCTATCAGCTATACAGACCTATACCATGGAAAAAGGAAGTGTCCTATCCTCAAAACGACACTGTCTTGCTTAAGAGTCAATTTCAAATCTTATTTTGGAAACTTTCGTTTAATTTGTCCTCTTAGAGAGTTTTTTCCAAGCAGGAGAACAATTTATGGATACTTTGGAAACTGTGCTCTTTAAAACAAAGACAGTTAGGGTCCTCGTAACTCTCGAGTTCGCTGTAAATCACAGACCGGTCAAAGCTGAATTTGTGAATTATCTTTTATTTACCTGAAACTTGTCCAAGACAAATTAAATTGAACGCGGCTTCATTTTTTCTCTTTAACTTGAGTTTAACAGACAATTTTGTTTTCGTATAATTACTATGACTGACTGCACTGTGATCTAAAAGATCGATTTAAACTGCTTTCAAATTTTCCGTCAGTTACATAAAAAAATGTCTATAGAGTGACAGTGTTTCCGAGCTATAAAACAGTTTCTATTCGTTTTTCAATTCGTTAACTTTGTTCATGAAATTGACAATTCTTTGATGCTTAAAATATCTAAAATTGCAGGAGGTGTTATGGTCTGTATAACTGTAAATCGGAACCATTTACACAAGAATTTCTTGCAGTCATCTGAACCAGACATTAAGTTTTACTTTATTAACTTGCAAACGACAAGAGAACTTTGGCAACTGGTTTTGCAAATATTTGTTGGTGGAGGAGCGTTTGTTAGCTATGATTGGTTAGTGTAGGTTCTGCAAGTTGCGTTCGCTATCGTAAATGTCTTGTTCAACTTCATTTGAAGGGTGTCGGTTGAAGCCAGTCTTTGTCAACATTCGCTGGGAGTGGTCTGTTTTAAGTTAGTTAACATGTTGTTTTGCGTCAGTCGCTGTAAAGAGTCAAAGCTCTAGGATTTACGTTTGGTAGACACCCAGCTTCATTTTTAGTTGTTCAGTGATGTCAATGATGACGTCATCACGTTTGTGGTCAGTCTTTTTTCAGTCTTCTGCTATAGCTTCTCCTGTTAAAGAAGCTTGGCAGGTGGAGCAATTCATCTTGAATTTTAACTTGTCTTAAATGTTGATCAGGTTATGTAGAACATGTAGGTTTGGTGCAATGATTCTGTTCGTTAATTCTACTCTTTGTAGTCATGGCTGTTGAGCGGGCGCGTGTTTCGTCCAATAACGTCGACGTGTTTTCCTTTTGTTAAAATCACGTCAGTTTTGAGTATTTTTTTTTCTCCTAGCGGGTTGTAAATTTGTTGTGCTCTAGTGGTCGTAAGGGGTAACTTTAGTAATCTATTGATATACGTTTGTCTTTGTCAACAGCCTAAAAAAAAATTATTTTCTTTGGTTAATTACATGTCAGCAGCGCTCTGTATGTCAATTTGCCTTAGTGTACGGTGGGTAATGTAGCGGTCTTTTCTCTTAGCGAGTAGTGAATAAATTGCCATTCTTTTACGTCGAGAAAAATAAATGGAGAAATATGTTTTGGTTGCCAGGGTTCTCTTGTCCATTACAAGAAAAATTACTGATGCAAATATGAGGATCTTTTAAAGTGGCACCGACAGTTGCATCGACAACGTTTTTAATTGATCGCCTGTTTAAAAGTCTCTGCATACTTTGCGCAAAAAAAATTGTCGAAAACACAACGTTTCGTGGCTTAATGGTGCTTGGATAACAGACGAGATACATTTTTTTTTCGATTTAGAAAGATTTGGATTGTTTTCCTTTCTCTTTTAGTGCGGTAACAGGACGACCTATCCTTGTTCCAGTCTTCAGATATTTTATCTCAAAATATTATCAAACAAACAGTGCCACTTAGAAAATTCCACACCTGCTGGTGGCTGCCATAGTCGCTAAATCTCCAATCTAAATTTCTACTCACCAACTTCATCCTTTTATCCTCGACTCCAAATCGTTTTTGACAAGGGTCTCTCTTGATAATCCATTTATCCAGTGTAAAATACATGTAGGCATAGTTCCTAGCAAACTTAGAAATTTTGGCAGCCACCATCTACACTAGCATAATATAAAACTGAGATTTAGATATCTTATCTTCGTGGAGTTTCTTCTTTATTTATTGATTCCACTTTGTCCTTTTGTATTCTCTTCCTTCTCTTTGACTTTCTCTCTTCTCCATTTTTCTCCATGGTCTTCCTTTAACGGAAATAAGGAAAACAATTGTCCAGTTGATTCAGCTGACTTTAAATTTTTCAAAGGATTAATATAAAAACTGACTAGGGGAGGGGAGGGCGAACTGTCGCGAGCTTGCAGTGTAATGGAGTTATACGTGCGAAAATCACGTTCTCAGTGAAACACTAAGTTTATTTTCAACGGCATTTGCCAAATTCCTCTGCGCGTTTACAAAAGCAACGCAAGTGGCTGCGTCCTTTGCAAATTCTCCATATACCATGGCTTTATTGTTTTGTACTAAAATTTGCGGGCTAACCGCAAGTTATCTCAAAATATAATCTGCAGTATTTGATGCAACAAGACTTAACGTTAGTTTGTCTGGAATATTGGCTAACTCGGTGAGAGAAAGGATTTTTAAACTCCACGTTGTAACACGGTTTTGTGAGTCATTCGTAGCCTTGTGCTCCACGTTTTTTTAAAAAATTTGTTGAAGCCGTGAACAGGGTTTGAATGACAACTCGGAGCCTAAAATTAAATCACACGTGCAGAGTTGCCGTACAATTTACCCGCAATACCGTATTGCTTCTTAGCTAACTTAAAGTAAACTGAAAAGTAACTTGATACTTACCATGAACTACAAGTTCGAACGGAGCTTTTTTAAAACGAAGGCCATCTAGTATTCTCAGGAAGAAACTACTCCTCGAGAAAAAGGGAGCAGCGCAGTTCCGGAGGCAGCGACGAAGTTTAATGACTGACGTTTATTTTCTTTGATCTGTTCCTTACACTATGAATATGCAATCGAGATTTCAGCCAACCAAACCAAAATACGTCACATACTGCAATAAGAACGCTTTGTGTAGTTACTCATTAGTCTGCTGTGTACGTGATTTGTTATGGAAATTTTTCAAAGACCCGTGTGTAGCGTGTGGTATGAATATTCAATGTTAGGCTTTCTTGTCAGATCTTCTACGAGTTTCGCCGTATCTGAAGGGTAGCATATGAAAAAATAAAATAAAAAAAGTAATTAAAAAGGAAATTTAAAAAAAAAACGACAAAACGAAATGTAAAAAACGAACAAAAACAAAAAACAAACACAAAAACAAAAAGAAATGTAAAAAACAAACAAACAAACAAAACAACGAACAAAACAACCGGGCGTCAGAACTCCTGCTTAGAAACTGTGCCTCTTTCACCTCTGAAGTATCCAGGAACAAGTACATCATTGATGCACTTCGTAATTTGAATATAATTTTCCCATGATCTCAGACTGTTGAATAGGGATATGCGAAAGTTAAAACTATTAATAGGATGTGTAGTTGCACTTACCACAAAATGTGGTGAATAACGCAAAAGAAAAAAATAAGAAATGATTTGATGAATGATTGGTAATTAATAAAGGAAACCTATTCAAACTTTCAACATTCATAGCACTATTCCGAAGCTCCCTTTTCCATAGTCCCTTCCATTCAAACACTTTATTTCCTAGTCTCCCTCAAAGCCAGGGAGTACGTTACGTGACGAGCGTGAAGATACCATTGGTACCCAGTACCGTACTGAAAACGTTTGTTTACAGTGGTCAAGTACAATGGCTTCGTCTTCGACAAGACCACAGTCTAATGATTGGGTTCATTACTGCTTCAAAGTTATTATCATCGGCGATTACAAGGTGGGAAAGACGTCCCTTCTATGCAAGTACACTGGCCATCAATATCGCTCACCAAGCTCGACCATAAGCGTAGACTTCCGAGCAAAAAATTTGGAGAGGAACGGAAAGAGGGTCAAACTCCAAATCTGGGATATAGCTGGACAGGAAAGATTCCGTACGGCTGTGGCGAGTTATTATCGTGGAGCAGTAGGAGTAATTCTGGTTTATGATGTTACGAACAGAGAGTCTTTCCGTAATATTGGATACTGGTTAGTCCAATTTTTGTCGGCTATAAGTTTTAGTTTCGAAGTCTAACGGCGATGTTCACATTTTTACCTTCTATGCGCGATGCTTAATGAATTTTTGTCCTCAACTTGATGCAAAAAGGTCAAAACTTAAACGATCGAGGTCGAATTATATATGTTGACAGAGTGAAAGGTTGAATTGCATTTGTTCATAGTAAAACCATTGGATAATTTAAGAACAAATACATTTCACACCATAAACTAATTGAAAAGCGGAAGTATTCTGTCTAGGCACTCGTACTTTCAGCTATTGAATCTTTCCCTCTTTCTCTTCCGATCCTTTGGCGTAACAGAGACTGATACTATCATTTTCTAACTAAGATGTGATCATAATCACGAGACCCTGAAACTTTTACAACCATTCAAGTATCGAAACTGCTTTTCGAGTTGTTATGTTCAGGAGAGGCTTTTACAGGTGTCATTCGATCAAATCGTGATCGTCATCAAATTGTCATCAGACGAATCATCCTGAGTTGCGCAACCAGAGAAATTACGGTGGATTATCTTGTCTGCAGACGAAGAGTTTTTGTCTTGTGTCGCTTTTTTGCATCGAGCATCGTGCACGAATCATTTGCGTGACTGACTCGTACTTCACGCGAAATGTGATTGAAGTAAAATTTGCATATTCGCTCCTCGATAGCACACACGATTTCACCTTAACGTTATTCCTAATTTCTGCAGGCATGAACAAATGAGGAAATTCTGTGACCCACATGCGAAAGGAATTCTTGTGGGCAATAGATGTCACTTGTCTCACCTACGAGAAGTCCAAGCGGAGGAAGGAAAAACTTTTGCAGAACACCTTGAGCTACCTTTCTTTGAAACAAGCACAGAGAAGAATATCAATGTCATTGCATGTTTTGATGAACTGGTTGACTCTATTATTGAACAAATGGAAAGAGGAAGGCAGATACGGGAATTAACAACACTTGTGCTTCCAGCCAGTGGCGAAGAAAATAGGAATGTTGAAGCATGTGCATGCACGATACTATGATAAAAACAGTGTTTATCAGAGGGTCATCCACGAGGCTCAAAATCAAGGGGTATGTTGGGATTGCTTTATACTCATCCAGTTTAACTGTATCATGAATCAAAAGCATTGTTGAATCAGAAATCAGCTCGCTTACTCTTGCGGTGGTATTTATTCTGAAGTAACAACAGCAAGTGAAGACAAGTGATGTTCACATCCTGTCGTGTGTGTTACTTCCAAGGCTAATAAAATCAGTTTGCAAAATCGGTCAGTTTGCAGTTGCTCAAAAGTCCTGAGTGCCATCTTTATGAAGCCGACTAAAGATCACAAAAACTGGCTCATCCTATGCCACACTAACCACCCCCCCCACTTATTTTGACCCTTTGACTCCCATAAGTGACCAAGACATAATTTCCCCTTACAATATCAATACATCAGGCAGATAAGTGATAGGAACAAAGAAAAACACCAAATTGGGAATTATAAATTGATCCGAAACAAAATTCTCTAACTAAAATCTTAAGAATTGAAAGGAAGTGAAAGGTTTAACTCAACCACAAAAGAACATTGTTCCTCTTTGACTCATTAATGTTTTTAATGAACCTGTAGTATTAAGAGGGAGAAGGAAAGTGTTTTGCTGTAATGCCTGTTAAAAACTAATTCTATGGTAACTTGAGTTGACCAACAGCCTAATAAACCCAACCAGGGACTTCCAACTCCACATAAAAAAAATAAACTGACTAAACTTCAAGAAACATGGAGAACATTTGTCTGGACTAGGGATCAAACCAAATCTGAGTCCCCTTCCTACCCCCTCACCCCCACCCTTAAGGATTCTACTAATCTCTGTCAGTTTAGTTATCTATTACCTAAACTTTGGAAAACTACTTGGCAAGTTTGACCATATAAGACTTCACTTGCAAGAGTAATCCTGCATATTACTGGGATTAGGAATGTCAAGAGAATGAATGAGAATGAAAGAAAATGAGAATGAATGTCAATTAGGAATGTCAAAAGAATGAATGAGAATGAATGTGAATGAATGTCAAGAGAATGTCAAGATTAGGAATGTCAAGAGCATCCTGTTTCTTTTCACATGAAACTCAAGGTAAGTTAAATCTGAATGAATCATCAGAAACCTTAACTAAACCACAAAAGAACAAAACATCTGAGTTTTTATTTTGACTATTTTAAATTTAATACCAGAAATTGATACGAACAATTTTGAAATCTATTATAAATTGTGTTAGTCTCTAATTCAGCTGAGGACTGCTGTCTCATGAACATTATCCAAAGCACAATTGATAAATAATCCTACAGTCACATAGCAGCTCACTGAATTTCATAAAATTTCTCTGATAAATCAGTGTCAAAACTGTCTTACAAGTTTAATTTTGATAAGTGCATTTGGCTTTGTCAACTCTATCACAGTAGGGAGATCTTTGGTACTTCAGCAAACCTAAATTGAACATCAACACCCCAAAACGTCTTCTAAATCTTATTCATCAGTCAAGTGAATTGTATCTGTCTGCATCTTTCCTTAAACAAAAGTCTTCTACTTTTCCATGTTCAGAATTGAGAAATAAAAACAAATGCACTTTTCAGTAATAGAGTTCATTCTTGTCTCTTTGTAGGCTTCTTTTGGCTGTTGCAATGTATTTACAGTTTTCCATTTTAAAAATCAAATCTCTGAGTTATTTCATTTATTGGAAAACAGTAGTGTCACTAAACAGCCAGACTTCAGCAAATTCACCCACAAAATGTTTGACCCACATGTATAGTGCGCCATTTGATACTTTCCAAAAAGAAGATGACCAGAGGTTTGAGGAAGGACACAAGCAGTGACATCATATTCAGCTTACTATCAGTAAAATCTGGGAAACTGCTGAGTGGATGTTGCTAATAGATCTCTGGACAAAGACTCCAATCTTGTCTTTCCTTAGCTTCCCAGTAGCCCCCTTTGTACACATGCACAGCAGTATCTGTCACTTCATCCACAACGTTTTCAAACCAAACGGGCTTGTAACCTTCATAAACTTTTCCCTCTGCCTGTGCTTCTGAGGCCTCTGCCTCACGTTTACGCCTTCTTATTCGTTGCATTTCCTCCAATTTCTGCTTCTCCTGATTGGCTTCATCCCATTTACAGTTTTCCATGAGCCTCTGGTCTGGTCTTCTCCGAGAATCAGTTGGGGCAACACTATCATCAGAGTCATTGAGGGCCAGAGCAAACTCAGTGAAATAATACATTTTCTCGCAACCAGGCCTGAGAACAAAATGATTGAGGAAATAATTTAATGCTATGAAAATTAGCCATACCCAAAGTGCAATGTCAATATCCCAATTTATTTTCACAATAAAAAAATATCACTATTAAATTGCATCTTTGGTTAGTTAACAGAACTAACAAGGATTCAGTCAAACTGATTTCACTGGCAGGTTTCCATGGGGTATCCTTTTAAGTTGTTGTTGGGCAAAGTTTGTCAACAATTAAACTTACAATGCTGGATTTTTCTTCCACAAAGTGACTGGTGGTAAAGTCTGTGCCTGGCTCTTGTGTGGAGTAGATGCCGGCTGCTTCACATTTGAAGGAGATCTATGGTACACAACCTTGGCTCCATCCAGCTTGTTGTCCCATGTTCCTGATATCACATATCTGACCACTTTTGATGAGTCTGTAATCACACCTGTCACCTACAAGACAATAATGTTTTTCTTTCTAACACTCAAATTGCTTGGGGTGTAAGATTCAAATCCACCAAAATGCCACCAAAGTACTACTTAATTGTAAGTTGACCGCCCAAACTCAAAGCTGATCTCAATTCTTCAAAGCTTTGAGAATTGAGTATTAAGTGTACTGAATTAAGAATAAAATTACAAGAAGGGAGGGTTGAGTTTTGAGGCCCTCAAGAACTTGTTTTAACTCTTTAAGTCCCAAGATCTGATCGAGACTTCTCTCCTGGAGCTGCTTTACATTTCCTTTTAAATTTAATTTTTGAGAATTTTGTGTTAGATCAAGATAACAACTTTTATCCGATAAGTATGAGTGTTCTTGTTACCTGTTCACTGGAGAATGTATGGTTATTAAAGGGAAAATTTTTTAAGTTAATCACTTCTGAGAGTTAGAGGGTTTAGGAAACAATTTAATGCATGTAATCCCTTATCATGTTTTCTCATGGCCCCTGCAGGTGCATATGACCATCATACTGTACAACTAACACTCTTTATTCAGTGCTGCCACCTTACCTTGTTTCTGTCCCTCACTCTTTGCCCTTTGACCAACACATGTTCTACCCAAAACTGTCAACATTAGCCTATTATAGTGAAATTCTCAGTACCACAACAATATGTTGACTGACAGACTGACAACTGTAACATGATCACACTGATCACAAAACTACCCCCCATTTCCTCCCCCTCCCTCCACAGCAGCCAAAAAGGCCATGCAAAAAGTTGAGAAAAAAAATACTGCCAATACCTTTCTAGGTGTGTCCCTTCCAAAATAATTGTAAGCATCATATTTAAGATGGCAAACATCTTTAGTTGTGTGATTCTCAATGTCCATCTCACCCGACTAAGAAAACAACAGGGAAACATGCAAAGATAAAGTAATTGAGACAGGAAGGAAATATCCAACACAACATAACAATTCTAGACCAAACAACAACTACCACCAAAAACTGCTGCTTGAAATTCCATTTTTTCCAAAGGGGTTTTTTCCACATTAGAATTATCAAGACCAAGAGAGCATTATATCATCTGCTCAATTTAATTTACATGGGCAATGATGAAGAATCCACTGTGGAACAGTAACTTAAAAATCTACAAATTCCAATTTATTCCTTTATCCTTTCTTCCATCCTATCATTTATTTAATCTCATACATCTACAACTTGATTTGTTGTTCCTCTGTTCCATTATTTGCTAGCAGAAAAGAGATGACAATACAGAAGAAAATAAACTATGCAATATAGTTTCATTTAGCACCAAATTCTCATAGCTAAAGTTATGAGAAATTTAACACAGAGTAAGGAGAATTGATATCCAATATTAATTACCAGATCTCTCATCTAACCTGATCAATCCACAGCTTCCCAACAATGATATTATGGACAGTAGTAGTGACTTTTTTCCAGGTGTAATGATTTCCAGACTTGTTAAACTTGAGATGCGCCACACCATGTGGAATGACTTGTAAATATTTGCCACGGAATTTACTTGTACAAGTGAATTCCTGCCAGAAGATCCACTCTTTATGCTCAACATGAAGAGCGGATGCTGGAGGATGGTGGCTCACCTAGAATAAACATCACAGATTTCTGTAACATTAAAGTCTTTCAGTGGCATATTGATACTCTTTGCAGAAAATGTCTTGCAAGAAACAAATAAATCAATTGGAGCTTAATTTAGAGTCTTCATTTTGCAATAAATTTTGCAAGAATGCCCTTGGTGATTTTCCTAGTGATTACACTGCATCAGAAATATTGTCAGTACCACAACAGTGCCCTCTTAACTGAATCCTTTACATCATATCATCAGTATGCACATTCTCTATACTGTCCCCTAAACATTCCTAATGTGCTGATAAAGAGAATCTGTTTAAAAATCAAGAGCCAAAATCCATCCTTTACTTTAATGTTAGTATCCCATTGACATGATATGTTATCTGACTTGCATGGTAAGTTATTGAAGTAGAAATATCATCTGTATCTACATGTATCAAATGTCAAATACCTGCTCAGCAAGTGATCGCCATCCTAAATCCTCTGTTCTGTCAAATTCAAATGTTTCACCAAGTAAGGGGTTAAATGGCTTTCCAGTTCTTGCGGCAGTTGTGGAGTAAGAGGATGTTGTAAATGCTGCTACATAGCACATCTGCTCTGTGGATGTTTCACATGCTGCAGCTTTGTCTAAAAGGTCTGTGTATTCAAGCTCTTCTGTGAGCCTCTGAAGCATTGAAATTGGCTCATTGAAGTTCACCTACAATGATTGTTGAAAATCTCTCAAACAAGAATCTTAGCTGATACTGAGTGCAAGAAAGAGTTGAAGAAGAAATGACATAATGGAGACAGAATATGATGATGGTTGTACGCATTCTTCAGAAGGTTACCAAGGATCTGGAGGAACATAAACAACATTGCCAAGAATTTTTTATGAGGGAAATGGAGAAGCAGAAGAATTATACAATATGCACTCAATTAACTCCTTCCTGGGTAAAATTCAAGCTTGGCCTTGTTCAAAACTTATTGTATAAAGAAGTTAATTTAAGAGCCAGTATAATCCAAAAAGGTTTGAATCCATTGCATACACAGTGAAGTACCTTCTAACAATCAAGGTATTGGTGTTCATTGCTGGGACATATTGCTTTGACAGA